TCCTCACACCTCCATCTTAGGGATAAAGCGAAGGCTCAATCTATCAATCCAATATTATGATTAACGTCTTTCTTTCCACACAAGAATCGTCATCGTAGACATATTGTTGTCTCTGCATACAGTAGATTAGGACGCTCATCTATCTAGCAATTATTTTCCTACTTGTAATACCCCTCAACACTATTGCCTCGATTATCGTCCTGTCACCTACCTTTTACCACGGGGAGAGTTACTGTTTCAGGCGTAGTTCGGTGACTGAAGTCGGTACAGCATTCCGTAAAGCACACATCGCCGGCAGCCAGATCTGTTTTGTTGACAGATGCATATACTGTTATCCTCTTCAACAAATGATCGGCTCGTTAGCAGCTTGGGCGATCAGTCACGTCTCTGTTACACACTGTTGGCAAGTATTGGGCATGCATCTGAACCTATTCCAGTGTTGGTCAAGTCTGGTCTTGAAAGAGCTCACACTCGGTGCTGTCACAACACTTTCTGGAACATTGTTCCAAGAGTTCACAACTCTCACTCCGAAAAAGTTACCCCTCACAGTTTTCTGGAACTGCAGCTTCTCCAACCTTGAGCTGTTCCCCTTTGCGGGGCGAGCGTCCGCCAGCTCCAGGTAAGGGCACTCGACTGAGTAGTGCCCTTTGAGTTGCTTATACTGTACACCTCAATTAGGTCTCCCTTTGCCAGTCTGTAGTATAAGCTAGTTAGTTTCAGGGGCTCTAATCTCCCAAGATAACTGAGGTGCCGTAGTGTAGGCACCAGCCTGGTAGCCCTCCTTTGGACATTTTCAATCAACTGACAGTCGCTAGCATATCTTGGTGACCAGACGGGATGGCATCATGACAGTAGTCCAGATGGGAAAACACTTCACTCTTTAAAATTGTTACGAGGGACGGTCCCGTCTAGATATCTGAACGACCTTCTTATAAGACCTAATAATTTAGTTTTCTGATTCACCTTCTCGGAATGGCCCGAGAACTTCAACTCATTGTCAACATACACACCTAGGTCCTTTTCACATTCGGTCTCAATTAATGCATTTTCTTCGTCCCGTTAGGTCTTAGGACATATGATACGCCTCCTTTCGAATATATGGTCCACGATTCGATTGCGGGGTAATTTGTGGTAATGAAGCTTGGAAAATTAAATGACATTTTTCAATGTTAATTACTCGTCACCCAGACCGCACGGTAATGCAGAGGGAACAGCACAAGAAGCTCCTGCTGGACTTGAAGCAGAAGAGGGAGGAGTCGAGAAGGAACGGGGACAGGTGCACATGGGTTATACTCAGGGGGAGGGTAGTGGAAACAAGTGTGCCGACACAGGGCCAGGGGGCAGCAGTGCACCCTCCACCCACTCAACCCCCCACCCGGGAGGCGGCACCGGCTCAGCCTACCGGACAGGAGGGAACGAGCGCCGTGTAAACAATGAAATTTTTAACCACACCCTGCAAAATACAGTGTACTTAGCAAATGCTGCAGCTTCTGAGAATGTGGGTGGAGCGGGTTTATTACTAAGAGCAGAGACGTTACCGAGAACAAATTCTGGCTTGAATGTCATGTACACTAATACCGACACGTTCCTTGATAAGAGGGAGGAGTTTGAAACACTACTAAGAGTACACCAACCAGATATTGTAGGAGTTGTAGAACTGTTGTACAAGAACAGGAGAATCGACCCAGAGGAATGTGAGTTCAGTATTGCTGGATATGACTCATTTACGAACCTAACTCAAGAATCCTGCAGGAGGGGTGTGGTTATCTACGCTAGGCAAGACCTTAGAGCCAGCCAGGCGAGGGTACAGGGAGAGGATGTCTTTGAAGAGTCCAAGTGGTGTAAAATTAAATTAAAGGGAGGGGACTTACTTATCGTCGGGTGTATCTACAGATCCCCGAACTGTGGCCCACTAAATCAAAGGAACTTAAGAACCTTAATAAACAATGCGGCGATGCTCAACCCCAGCCACCTCCTTATCATGGGGGACTTTAACTATGGCGACATCGACTGGAGAAACGAGTCAACCCCGAATGACTTGAATAATCCTGCTACTCTTTTTGTAGAAACTCTGAGAGATAATTTTCTGTTCCAACATGTGAGAGACCCGACACATTACAGAGGGGAGCAAACACCCAAGCCACTTGACCTCATCATAACAAACGAGGAGGGTATGGTGGCCAAACTGGAACACCTTGCCCCAGTTGGCACCAGTCACCATACAGTGTTGTCATTCAGATTTAACTGTTACCTAGTTCAAGATAAGGCCAGGCCAAGGTGCAAATATTACAAGGGAAATTACAATGGGATGAGGGAAGAGATGAGGGGTATCAACTGGCCTGACTTATTAAGGTACAAGAACGCAGACACTACGCTGAATATCATAACTAGTAAAATGACCCATTTGATCGATAAATATATACCCAAGACCAAACCCAGTGCTTCTAGGAATACGAGGGGATCCCTACACATGAACCATGCGGCGGTCGACAAAATTAAGAAGAAAACCCAGAAATTCAAGACGTGGGTTGGGTCAAACGATGAGCAAGACAGGAGGATGTATGCAAGAGCCAGAAACCAAGCAAAGATAGAGTGTAGGAGGGCTGAAAAGGAGTTCCAAAGGCTGGTTGCACGCGAGGTCAAGTCAAACCCAAAGGCGTTTTACCGCTATGCAAAGTCGAAATTGAAAACGCGAGTAGGAGTATCAGACCTGAGGCTTGAAGATGGTAGTTACGCAGATTCTGACCAGGATAAAGCTGAGGCATTGAACAGCTTCTTTTCCTCAGTGTTCACAAGAGAGGATGCAACTAACCTTCCTGCGTTTGAGGACAGACGGTTCGACACAGCACTGACCCACATTGTGTTCACAGAAGAGGGTATTAGAAATAAACTGTCCAGGCTAAAGGTCCATAAGAGTCCTGGACCTGACATGGTGCATCCTAGAGTGCTAAGGGAGCTGTGCAACGAGCTTGCAGAGCCCCTGAAGATTCTGTTTTGTAAATGCCTGGATGAACAAATGGTCCCCAGTGAATGGAAAGTGGCTTATGTGAGTCCTATCTTCAAGAAGGGCGATAGGCACTCCACGAACAACTATAGACCGGTGAGCCTGACCAGCATAATATGTAAAGTACTTGAGAGTATTATCAGAGATGCAGCGATGGAACATCTACTACGAAACAACCTTGTAAAAGATTGCCAACACGGTTTTATGCCGGGGCGCTCTTGCTTGACACAATTGCTCAAGGTATTGGATATTTGGACCCATATTCTAGAACGGGGTGGTAATATCGACAATATTTACCTAGATTTTGCCAAGGCTTTCGACAGTGTACCCCACGAAAGGCTGAAAATCAAACTGGAAGGGTACGGAATTCGGGGAAATGTCCTAGCGTGGATAGAAGACTTTCTACATGACCGCAAGCAATGTGTGGTGATTAATGGCACGAAATCGTCATCTGTACCTGTAACAAGTGGGGTACCGCAGGGTAGTGTATTGGGCCCGCTGTTGTTTGTTTGTTTCATAAATGATATGCCTGACGTTGTACACTCCTCCATACAAATGTTTGCCGATGACGCCAAGTTATTTCGGGAAATTAAGAACCAAGCGGACTGTGAAGAGCTGCAGAAGGACCTCTGTGGGCTCCAGGAATGGTCGAAGGAATGGCTGCTGAGATTCAATGTCACGAAGTGTAAGAGGATGCACCTGGGGCGTACCAACGGTAAGGAGGCGTACCATATGTCCCAACGGGATGAAGAAAATGTACTAGTTGAGACTGTGTGTGAGAAGGACCTAGGTGTGTATGTTGACAATGAGCTGAAGTTCTCGGGCCATTGTGAGAAGAAGGTAAATCAGGCAAATAAATTATTGGGTCTTATAAGAAGGTCGTTCAGATATCTAGACGGTCCGTCCCTCGTGACGATCTTCAGGAGTGAAGTGCTTCCCCATCTGGAGTACTGTCACCCCATCTGGTCCCCGAGATATGCTAGGGACTGTCAGTTGGTTGAAAATGTTCAAAGGAGGGCCACCAAGCTGGTGCCTGCACTTCGGCATCTCAGCTACCCTGCGAGATTGGAGCGCCTGAACTTGCCTAGCTTATACTACAGACGGGCAAGGGGGGACCTAGTTGAGGTTTATAAGCATCTCAGGGGGCACTACTCAGTTGAGTGTCCTTACTTGGAGCTGGCGGACGCTCGCCCCACAAGGGGTCACAGCTCAAGATTGAAGAAGCCGCAAGTCCGGAAAACCGTGAGGGCAAACTTTTTCGGAGTGAGGGTTGTAAACTCTTGGAACAATCTACCAGAAAGTGTTGTGACGGCACCGAGTGTGAGCTCTTTCAAGAGAAGACTTGACCAACACTGGAGCGGGTTCAGGTACATTCAGGAGCCGGTGCATGCCCAGTATTTGCCAACAGTGCGTGACAGAGACGTGACCGATCGCCCGGGCGGCTAGCGAGCCGACCTTTTGGTGAAGAATATAAAGGAAAAGAGTCGTGACCGATCGCCCAAGCGGCTAACAAGCCGATCAGTGGCGAAGAGGATAAAAGTAAAAAAAAGTAATTGAATGGGTTTCCGAAGTGCGATTTTGGTGTTAATGTGTTATGTAAGTACTTAAATAGTTAAACCCCTTAAATTTCATTTATGAGAGAAAAGTATATTTTGGTCGAAAAATTACTAAGGCTTACATTTTCGACAGTTTGGGCCCTCTTAATGACGTCACTCCCAGACGACGAACCTCTTAATGACGTCATAATAAGTATATTTACCATCCACAGAACTTGTTCGAAAGTGCCGCCGACATTTTTTTCTCAATTCAATTTCAATATTTATTCCTTTTTTCTCTTACTTCATTTGCAATTCAAATAAAAACATAAAATAAGTGTTTGTATATAAATTGTATATATATACTATATATATATATTGTTAATATATATATTGAAGTTACTAACTTCTTTATGTTTATTTAAGAGTTGCAGCCAAAGCCAGAGCCGGGTAAACAAACTTGCCCCCGTAGCCGGCATCATTCCTTGAGGTGAGAGAATGACAACAGCAGGGAGCAGGCCAGAGCCACAGAGGCGAGTTAGACTTGATTTCTACCTTGTCTGGAATATCATAGTCGTCTTATCACTCATCGGTATGTTCATCTATCTGATATTCTTTTTCAAATAACAGACAAGCGACCATTACACTAGAGGCAGGTTGACATTGATCTATGAAAAGTATGTTTTGGTGGGTGATGTTATGGTGACACTTGCCAGGTGGAGCTCCACCTAAGCACAGCTGTTCTTGCTTCAACTGTTGCCTATAATCTGTGTGACACATCACTGGGACGAACCTCACATCAACTTAAGTTTTGTACCCAGTCAGTAATTTGAATGACAGTTCACCTGGTATATTAAACTATACTGTACTAATATGAGTACCTCTCTTGCATTGAAAAACTAGTTGAGGTACGGTACCTATATTTACTTATTTATATGAATTAAGTAAAGGCAAATAGAGAAAATGGAAGAGTCAACACAGAAGGAGCTTCATGCAGCATACTTGTGTGTGAAACCCACAGTGGCTGAGGACCTGACAAGTTGTGAAGAATTGAAGCGAGCACTGCAGTATGCAGGTCTTAACCCAACACCTTCTTTCTTGGCTAAATACTGGCAAGAGGGTGAGACTGAAAGCCTTACTTATGAAGTTTTTTGCAGATTAACAGAACAGCTACCAGAAATTGTCATTGATGACATGGAAACATTGTTCATGAAAGTGTTTGGGACAGCAGATGGCAAGGTTGGAGAGAATGATTTTAGAAATATGTTAACATCAGGTGATCATGGTAGAGACCTCAGTGATGCTGATCTTGATTATGTTCTTCAAGAAGCTGGTATTGTTGCAGATGGGGTCGTTGACTGTAGTAGGTTATGCAAGGTGATTCTCCATACTGTTAATGAAATGAAACAACTGAGTTTGCAAAAGCTAGAAGAACGTTCAAACTTCCAGCGGATCAACTCCAAAACATTCACGAGAAAGAAACGGGAGCAGTACTCAAACCCAGACAGCAGCTTAACCCAGGCCTCATCACAACACCCCAGCTTAATATTGGACGGCTGGAATGAAGCTAGTCTAAAGGGATGTTTTTATTTAGACAAGCAGAGTGTTCTTGCTCATCAGTACTGCATGGAGATATCATGTATGGGCCCAACGGTTGTTAAGGTCAGGCCGAAGAATTATATGCAGCAAGAGGCAGGAAGAGGACCTGTAGACACACTGGCATATATTTTCCGTGAATCACCGGAAGGGATGCGTAACTATATTGGTTTCACAGACCAAAAAGATAGTGATGGATCATTCTTCTGGCGAGATACATTAAAAGAAGGACGCTACGTTGTTATACCCTATACAAGTGGATGTCGACTTCAAGAACGAGTGCACGAACCAGAAGGTTACATAGAGCTTGTTGAAAACCAGGGTAAGGTGCAGCTGACTCCTGAGTTCCGATTAGTTCTGGAAGAAGTATTTGATCAGGTAGACCTAGACAGTAATGATCGTCTTAGCCGGCAGGAATTTAACTTGTATAACTGGCGCACTTCAGGGGAGGAAGTTCAAGATGATGAGTGGTCCGTAGTGCAAAATAACTTTGACGTACTGGATGGTGAGTTAACACTTAATGGATTTTTAGCATTACACCAACTTGAAGCAGAGGATAATGGTGGAGACTCGGAGGACCTATGGGTGTCGCTGGAGGCCATGGGATACAATCGACTAGGGAGACAGGATCGGGCGGCACCATTTACAATAAGTGTGCACAGCCATGTTTGTCAACCAAATCTTCAGGTTTCAGGACTTAAAAGTGGTGGACTACTTTTGGACAAAGCAGTTGTGAGATCAATAATGGAAAATGCAGAACCCATCAAGATAAAGAACATGATAGACCTTATAAAATATGAGTATGTCGGGGAACATCGAGCAAGTATTGTGATTCAGAACAAGGCGCACAGCAAAGTGACTGTTCGTGTGGATTGTAGTCGCAGTGCCAATGTGATCACCAACAGGCCCAGTCTGGATTGGACAGTTGATGTAGCTGGAAAGTCTGCCATTATTGCCCACCAGTTGCTGCCAATGAGACTTGGAGAAGATTGGAATGTGGTTTGTTCTGAGTCTTTAGTTAAATAGTTGCTAACAAACATTCTGCATGATTTGCTACTTGCATTATTGGAAGATTTCATTCATGATACTGTACATACCAGGGTAAAGGTAGGGGAGACCGTCAGCACCAGAAGGCCTTTATAGAATTACACCAAATTTTCTGGAGATGTTGTTTGGATGATACCGAGTAGTAAAATTGAAGCGACAACATTGTATTTTTTTTCTTTCTAGTCTATTCTTTGATCATAAATTACTTGTTAATGGGCAGGGCCTAAAAGAAGAGGGAATTATGGGGGTAAAACACTGCAAACACTGATAATATGGCGGGAATTTCACGGGGTGAAGAAAAAACAATATTTACTGTAATTATGGTAACATCTGATCTGTGGTGACCATGTTTTGGTTCACATAGTCTGCTGTATGGGAGCATCCAAGTCTTTGTTTACATATCGGGAAACAAACGACGATCTCATCGGGTGTGTTTATTACGATTTATATTGGATGTTATTTGGATAATAGTAAGAAAATCAAAACAATGCACGGGTTAGGAAGTTAGGTCAGTTTCTAATAGGTGTTGTGCATTCTCACTTCCATTTTCGTGTTCAGCATCATGTAAATAGTAACTCTAAAAATATTGGTTCAATTCCTTAAGTTATTTCTGGTGCTAACGGTCGCCTCCACCTTTATCCATGCCAGTGATAAGAAACCAGAATTTGAGTTGGAGATTTTAAACCAATGACTAACTCTTAAAAACATTTTTAATTCAATCTAATTGTTAAAATATGCATACTGCACAGGTACTTTCCTGATGGTGCAAGTAGTTTATCTTCTTCATTGAAGGCCTAGTATGTTATGTACTGCTATAGCTTTTAAGCTTATTATCATGTAAATTGTTCTCACATTATAGCTTCAAATTATGTTGTGGCATTCCATGTGATGTACAGTCCCCCAAAAATTTATCGTTAGTCACGGGGTCGATGTGATTCAAAGATTTCCGAGCATGTTACTCAACCTGTTTCTACATCCGCGACCTTTCAGCATGAATGAGTATATAGGGGGTCCCCGGGTTACGAACGGCTTCCGTTCCTGAGGACATTCTTAAGTCGAATTTGTACGTAAGTTGGAACACATGCTATGTGAATACCGTAATTACAGAACAATGTAAGCCTAACTCTTTATATATATATATATATATCTAAAATCACTTAATTTAAGAAGAAAAAAAGAAATAGAATGACAAAAAACAGTAAATGAAAGTAAAAAATTAAGTCATCAGGTAAAAAAAACGTAAATTTCAAGTTTAACTCCGTTCGCATCAGCTGGCGTTCGCAAGTCGGGGAGCCCATGTATACATTTTTGAATAATGCATACATTATTAATTAGTGGATTTCTTTTTATAATGAAGTATCTAGTATGCCATATATGGATGACTCCTTCCCCCAATCCTACCCCAACCTCTAAGTGTTGCTGATATGGCCAGCAGACACACCAACTTATGATGATGAACTGGGATCATATCAAAGCATTTCATCTAACGTATCAAATTTAACGACGGAAAATGTTACGACCGGGGGTATACTTTTTTGGTGGGACTGTACATAAATATTGCTCAAGTTTATTTATGCGTGACGTTTTGTTGTGAGCTAATGTTGTGACTATAATATATTTAACAAGATGCATGGTTATTGCTTGAATTTTTCTTAAAGGATGTTTTAAAGTTTCCAAGCTGATAGGTGACTGTTGAACTATTTTTGCTTGCTCAACTTTATAAATACAGCATTAATACTTATTAAAAGATAATATATTTATGTTACAATGAGTTTGATCAAATATTTAGGGTCCAGTTAACTCTAATCACCTTTATCCTTATTGTTACTTTTTAGAATTATTCCCGTGACCTCCAATACTACAGACAGGTTTCAGATGATTTATGTTTGCTAAGACTTAACATACATGAGGCCAATTTGGTCAACAAAATTTAAATATCCTTAAAAAAAGAGTTGTAATGTTGTCAGTAATGCTTGTCATGGAGGCTTGATGTACAGTGGTCCCTCAGTTAACGAGTACAATCCGTTCCAGCAGGTTGCTCGTTAACCGAAAAACTTGTTAACCGAAACCATTGTTTCAATGGGTTTTGGGGTAATTGGTTCCAGCTCACCGAAAATTGCCTAAATTCAACAAAAAAGGTAGAAAAGTGCACTTACTTTGAGGTGTGTATGTAGAAGGCTCCTGGATGATGATGATGATGATGATGATGGGAATTAGAATGGGGGTGGAGAAGAAGGGAGAATTGAAGGCATTGGGGTGGAAGAGAAGTCACCCCATGGCACCATTTCACCCATAAAATTTTAGTTCTCTTGGTGTAATTCAAGATTATTTTCTTTAAATCAACACTGCACTGCATTATATATTGTCAATATGTAAAATAAATTTCAAAATGACCAATAATTTGCTTGGAACACAGAAAAAAGCATTTAGTTGAAGAGAGTCTCAAGCAAGATGTTACCTCCACTGAAAACAGAGAGAGACTAACGCCTGTCTGGTGTGTTAACAGGCTGGATGGCACGCCAGAAACTAGTTTCTTTACCTTCAATTATGTTCAATAATTGTTAAAATAACTAAAAAAGTTAATATTAAACTTTTAAAATTATTGAATAGTATAAACTTCTTGATATTTACTAAAATAGTAAGGAATTTATGCCCTAAAACCGATTACTGTATTGGCGGACTAATACTACAGCTGGTGGACCACCAAATGCAAGCGAAAACATGTTGAAGTCGGCTTGTAAAAAACTCGTTAATCGAGGGATTGCTCGTTAACCGAAGTTATGAATCTTTTGGAAGGTAAATCGTTAACTGAAATCTCGTTAACCGAGGGATCACTGTAATGACAATGGATATAAGCATCCTAACGTTACCTAACTATCTCAGGTTATATTTAGATGGTTCATGTCTGCTTTTGTAAATGGTTTTTCATTTTAACATCCTCAGTACACTACTGTATCTGGAAAGGACTTATAATTTGCCTACATGTTATGCATCTGGCTTGAAAGATGGTCAGTGTTAAAAAAAAATATCAGAAATGGGATTACAAAATCATTTATTTTTTAGGCAACATGAACAAGCTAAATGTATCTTACCCTTACCAGAACTATCTTAGGATTGTTAGGTTAGGTTTAGGCCATTTACTTTAGCATATTATTTAGTTAAATGGCCATATTATGGATATTTATGTAACACAAGTCACCTTGGACCTGGCTTTAGCAAAAATAGCCTCGGCAGGATCTGTAGCTATTTCATAATGAAGAATCAGTTATATTCTGTATTTTTTTTATGGTCTAATAGTATGTGGAATATTTTAATAGTAATATTTAGCAATGATGCAGCTTTAGACAAGACTGATAATGTTACAATTTTGCATTTAGTGTTTTGCCTGTGTTCTTTTGCTGATTTTATTAATTTTTTCAATGAAAATTAGTTTCAGCTCATGCTTGTTGTAAATGGAGATTTACCAATGGAACTTGCTTAACCTTGCATGAAAATATGAAATAGAAAATGACAACGTAATGTATTTTCAATTCTTATTTATTATTTTAGTTTATGCAATTAGAATTGTAAGTTGCTAAACTTGTAGGTGCTAATTTTTTACTAGAGTTTGTAATGTTACCTACTAATATATAAGAATATATAGCCCATTAATAAAGCATAGAAAAATTTCTTTGTGTTTTACTGTATGCTTTATTTTTTAACCTTTGTAGCTTAGAATTCATGTATAATGATCAAAGTGACACTGCATATTCGTGATTTTCTGTTTGTGATGTTATTCTGATTACATTAAATTAATATCTGTTCAGAGAAGTGAGAGCTTCTGTAACATTTCTGTACATGTACCTACATTTTACAAAAGTTAAAAGAGTGTGGTTCATCAGCCTCAAGTTAAAAAGTTTGAAGGCTTCAAAACAGATTGGAATGTAATAAGCATAGAAACTCTTGTTATGCTGTGCCATAAGATCACAACTCTTACGCCCAGAGTTTTAATCACCCTTTCTGTTGACGGGAGTCATCTTGTTTGCAAACAGTTTTAAAAAATTGGAGTCACGACGGACACTGCATTACAGTGCTTGACAGGGATATGTGGCGTAAAATTAACTAATTCTAATGTTATAAGTTAATTTTACTGCCACACTTCCCTGTCAAGTGCTGTAGTGCAGTTTCCCTCGTGACTCAAATTTTTTTTAAAAGTCTGGTTGTACGCACGACGATCCGATCAACAGAAGAGGATGATTAAAACTCCAGGCATAATGCTCTTTATACTGCAAGTAGAGGGGATACCTATTGCTTTGCTCAAATCTATCCTCATTAGTTTATATCTGTACAGAATTCTATCCCAAAAATTTTCATAGCTTTTTTTTATAATCAGGTGTTTCTCAAACATCACCTACAGTATTTGAGATACAGTACTTATTTACCTTCATCTATACTATTCTCAAATCACCTCTTTTTTTTCTCTCTCTTTTTTTTTCTCTCTTTTTTTTTCCTACTCTGATGTTAATGTATGTGTTGGTACATTAGTGGTCAGTGATAGCTACAGTATTATTAAAATATATAAGCACTTACAGCCTGCTCATCCCACATCCCAGGTGTGTGACGCTGTTGCTAAAAACGACTTGGCTGAAGAAGAGGAATAAACAAATCAATCAGTTACAAGTCCCATTTCCTAAGAAACATGAGTGGGAAGACAATATTCGTGACTGTTGGTACTACTCACTTCGATGCTTTAATTCAAGCGATTGTTGAGGAAGAAACATTGGCTATTTTACGAGAAAAAGGCTACACCAGAGTTAACCTTCAGATTGGGCAGGGAAAATTTGTTCCCCCAGAAGGTGAACATTGGGGAATCACATTGACTCATTTTCGACTGAAACCATCTATTGCAATGGATTTTGCTAATGCAGATCTTGTGATAAGTCATGCAGGTTCTGGCTCTTGCCTGGAAGCATTAGGTGCTGGTAAACCTCTGGTGGCAGTGGTGAATGACACACTCATGGCCAACCACCAAACAGAGCTAGCAGAGGAACTTGCCAGTAATGGATTTTGCTATTACTGTTACCCAGCCACACTGCAAGAAATGCTTGCTGACATGGATGTTTCCCTGCTCAGATCCTATGTTCCAGGTCAACCCAAACTCTTAGCACAGTATTTGAATTCTGTCATTAAATTAGCTTCATAGTTCTTGAAACTAGGGGTGAAATTGTAAAACTGTCACCTAATTGTATTTATTAATAAATTGATTTTAGACTTTAATCAGTAAATTGTGTTGATAGAACACAATTTTATTGTGGCTGTTTAGTTTCTTTGTTTTTCATATACAGTACTACATTAAGCATTATATTTATATATGTGCTGTAGGTTATTTTGAATAATAATATTGCCTGCCTGGCTAATTGTATTAGAAAAGTTGGTGATGATAGATGGTACATAGTTATAAAGGTTGTACATTTACCAGATTAAAACTTCATAACTGTAGTGTTTACACTGTCCATACAGTATTTGTGATTTATATAACTTGTATACAGTACAGTAGTGTACTATTATTATCTGCCTTTTCTTATTTTCATTTCTCTATTTTGAATGTAAAAACGTAAGCTTTCCAATGTCCTGTACTTCAGTAAGTTCAAAAATTTTCCAGTTCGTATTTACAGTACAGTAATTAGTAAATTCGAGTACCCGGTATGTACCAGTATTTTTAATGTTTCTTTAAAAATTTGATTTGAATTTTTGTAACTTATATAATAGACTCATGTGCAGTCAACACATCATGGGGTTTTATATACAGGGTTACCAGTATATTCCAAAATGGGTTACAGTACTTGGGAGATGTCATTGACCAATGAGGCAAAAGCTAAGTTTTTTCCCCACCACACCTAACATGTGTGCCCATTCCATTAAGATAAAGAGAGATTGATCCTAATGTCCTACTTTACAACCAAACATGGATCAGATGATTCACATTCCTCCTTCCTCCCATAGGGTGCTGAAGTGGCCTGAAACTGAGTGGGGACTTCCTGTTGCCCAGTTTCTTTTCAGTAGCTACATGGACCATGTGTGTTAGCTTTTTCTAGCTGGTAACGGACACCTCCAAGTGACCTCTTTTTCAGGGCTACATTTTTATTGAAAAGGTAAATGTTTTCTGGATTTCTTGAATTTAGTTCCAGTCACACACATCAGGGCTCCTGGGATTCCAGGGTTGTTAAACCACAGATGTGAATATTTGTGCAAGAGTCTCATAATCAATACTGTACTAGCTTCTAAAGTGAGGTTTCAGGATCTGTCCCTCATTATTCATGTTAAGGGATCTAAATACCTGGTAATTTTTAAGTGTTTAGAACTTTACTTTTGTAGGTAATCTTGGAACTAATGAGCATTAACCCATGTCTATCATAGCTACAACAAAATGCACCTCTGCACGAACAGTGTTTCTTATATAAATGTGTTGGAAAATTTTTATCTCACTGTTGGCAGATTTATAAATTATGCTATAGAAAACTACAGTATGTAGATATATTTTTTAAATTTACAATTCTTGTTATGATATGACAGTGCTTACATACAGAAATGTTGTTTCCTATTCATAATCTGTACATTAAATGACCAAAAGATACATAGTTTGTGAACCAGTTTACTTCTACCTTTGCCTCATTTCTGAATTTAGAAAAGTTTGTAACCACCATAACTTTAATTTTCACTTAAGTTCAACTTGTTTTATGAAAGTTGTCTATTTACTGTATACAGTATATGTAATTACTGTATAAGTACTCCTGAGCATGGTGATTTCGAATATGAGGTCCACGATTCGATTGCGGGATAATTTAGTGGTTGTAATTACGCTTGGAAAATTTAATGACATTTTTCAATGCTAATTTATCTCCAATTATGGGTTTCGTAAGTGCGATTTTGGTGTTAATGTGTTATTCTGTAAGTAATTAATTAGTTAAACCCCTTAAATTTTAATTCTGAGAGAAAAGTATATTTTGGTCGAAAAATTACTAAGGTGCAAGACTTACATTTTCGACATTTTGGGCCCAAAATTAGATTTTGTTGAAAATCACATTATAGGTACTTCTGAGCATGGTGATTTCGAATATGAGGTCCACAAATGGGAATGCAGATGGATTATCCAGAAAGAGCCATGAACCAAAACCTGAGGCAGGTGACTCCTCCAAGAGGGTTGAAGCGATAGGTATAGATGCTTTCGAGGAGGAGAGTTCTCTTAGTGGTGAGGATAATGAGACCCCATGCCCAGGTGAGGAAGGAGCAGATAGCCCTCAGGTGACAGGGCAGTTAATGTGGCTTCCCAGCATATCTCAGGAAGGTTTGGAGCAACTGCAGGAGCAGGACAGTAACATCTCATCGTGCTGAAAGGGCCTAGAAGGGCAGCTCGGAGAAAGTGAATTACAGGAGTTGAGAAAGGGCCAGGATTTTAACAACCTATGGAAACAGAGGGAGATTGCTCATTCGCAACAAACTGGTGTTTAGGAAATAGGGAAGGCCATGCCAGAAGGAGATAAAACAACTAGTTTTGCCAACTACCTTGATTTTGAGTTTTGCGATGTTAGATCAGTACCCATTACTCACGAAATTCAAAATCCTACTGTATACTTTCATTCTTCACTTCATTTTCAGTTACCCTCTTCCACTTTTATTTCCATGTTTTTTTTACATCATTCACATTATACACCCATTAATTATTTTAACAAACATTCTTTGACATGCCCAAACATTTTAAACCTATATCCTCACTTTTTTAACCACATCTATATCCCATACCTCCCTTAACTCTTGATGTTTCTCTATTCATTCTCCACATTTCTTTAGTAGGTTGCTCTCTCATTCATTGTTATAAAATAGGCATACCTCTTAAGAGTGCCTTTTCATTATAATGCTCATTGTTCTCTAAGCCATGTGTTTAACCAGAATGTGCAGTGATTACACCTCACTCATCAACTCCATCTTCCCTGCCAGTTATGAACAATTCCCTCTCTCTCAGATATGTGTATATTTCACAGTGGTATTATATCTTTTTAGCTTTTTTTCTTTTTTACCATGTCTGGTAAAAGACCTGCAAGTGATTTGGTGGTAATGTGGCCAGGCAGTCAAGGAAAAGCATCAGTCTGGATGTAAATATGCAGGTCATTGCACGTGGGGAAGCAAGTGAGTGTCTGGTTAAAATTGTTTTTTTTAGCTACAGTTTCTCTACCTGAACCATTAGAACAATTGTCAAGAATATAGATAAGATAGGGCTTCTACCCAATCTACTCCTCCATTAACAGCAGCTGCTGCCATGTAGGAGGGGGATTGTGTTAGGAGCAACAGCAGTTGACGGTCAGACTGAGAGCACTGGTAAGTACATACCTACACTGTATACTGGAGTTTAGGGCACATAAAATGACTCCCAAATTTTCACTTTAAAATTTAAGCTTTATGCTATACAATACTTGTATAGGTATAAAATATGAACCTTAGTCATATGGTGTATGTTGTGACCATGGATGACCTAAAGGAAACTGTCAATTGCTACAGAAGAAAATGTCTTTCTTAATTCAAGAATAGTGTAAGTTGGGTCAAGTAATAGCAGTTTCCTATTCAATTTTTTTTATAAAGATAAAGTAAAGATACCACACTGGTGTGTGCACCCGATAGTCTGAGCACTTGATAGACAATAATAATGCAATGCAGTACTGGACTTAAACCAAGACAAACTGTTCCCAGATGACTCCATTATAAAATAATGTACAGTACAGTATGTTGAGTGTATTGTATATGATAATGAATTATTATTTTGTAGTAGGAATCCTACCAAGTTACTATTCAGAGGGGCTGAAGCAGCAGCCATCCCCCTCATTATCACTCGAAAGTGTTTATGCAGTACTAAAAGGAATTCTTCAATTTCATTCATTTTTTCAACAGATGTTCTTTGGATGATAGTTAGAGATAAAAGTGATACGGCTACTTTTTATTTTAATAAAGTTTTTTTCTCTTTATTTATTGTACATGCATACATCTACAATATAAATAATAATCTCTAGAGATATGCACAGGGTGTGTGTATATATATATATATATATATATATATATATATATATATATATATATATATATATATATATATATATATATATATATATATATATATATATATATATATATATATATATATATATATAATGTTAATATCACAAAAATACATAATTCTTCACAATCGTGAAGAACAATGAAGCACAGCCCTAATTGTCAATTTCTTGTGTGACTCATGGAAGTTCATGGAGCATTGCACTCAGGTCTACAACTGGATAACCAATGGTTTCCAGTGCCAACACAATCTTTGGTTGATGAGCAGTTTACCAGTTTAGTATACTGGTTCTCCTTTCATGATCTGGTCGGTATTTTCTGAAAGTAAAAAAAAAAAAAAATTGTCACCAAGATACTGTATGCTACAGACTGTCAACCAATTGAAAATGTCCAAAGGAAGGCCACCAGATGGGTACCTGCACTATGGTTCCTCAGTTACCCAGAGAGATTATAATGCCTGCAAGTTTCAGTTTATACCACTATAGACAAGCAAGGGGGTACTTAAATGAAGTTTATAAACATCTCAGAGGACACTGCTCGGTCAGTGTCTCGGCCACCTAAGTTGTGAGTTGCATTATTGTTAAACTCCTATTTTCAGGTAGCTATGCAAATTTTCTTTATTTTATTTTTACTCTCTTACATGCACACACACAATCATCCATACAGAATTTGCAAAAAAAAATAAAAATAATTATCATATGTCAAAAACATTTATTACGTGTGGGACCTAGCACAAGAGAGTACGACAGGGAGGGAGTGGCATTCTCTAATGGCTCTGCTGTCTTGTGTTAGAGTTCTCCTTGTACAGTAATGTTTTCCTTTCATTATTATCAATGTTTTCACATTTTCAAGACTCTCCACAAAATTTGTATATTAGGTCAGAGACTAGAATAGTTTTTGACAAACTTATCCTGCCCTAAAATTTTTGGCAGTTTTGGTCCAAAATTGGATTGTGTTGAAAATCTTGGTATAGGTACTCCTATTCATGATGATTACAAATCTATGGTTCACGTTTTGATTAAGGATAATTAGTGGTCATAATGACACTGAGTTTCCAAGGTTCGATTTTTTTTTTTTTTATTCTGGAAGTACTACTTTATTATTTAAACCCATTAAATTCCAATTCCGAGAGAAAAGTATATTTTGGTTGAAAAATTACAAAGGTAAGGCTTACCATACTTTACGGAATATAAGGCGCATGGCCATACAAGACACACACACCCCATTTTAGCAGGGGGTATTTAGGAAAAAACCAGTAAATTAAAGCCAAATGAAAGTTTAACAGTCACCATTTACATATACAGTACTGTACATCTGTACTCCATGTTCACCATAGCAATAGTGAGCTACCTCCGCCAATCCCCTAGCTATGATCCCCCCTCTCCCCAACTGCCCAGCCATCCTCCCACTCCCCCACTAAGCTAGCTAATTCGTGTGCAAAGAAATGTTTTTGCCCTTAGGACAATAATTTCTTTTACCTTTTTCACAATACGTACATACATCTACCTGAAAATACAAAAGTGACGAGTGGCTACAATGCCATCAGCGATGTTAACAGATATTAATGTGAAAAGAAAGTTATCTATAAATCTTCATTTGTATCAATGTATTTGTAGATTGAAAAATAAATGTTGCAGGTATGGCATTATTAGATAGTAATGCTTATAAGAATTCAGATATGGTTACAGCTTAGTTACCTCTGAAGAGTTGGGTGCCTGCTGTACGGATGTTAATCATCTCGGGTTATCGTCAGTAATACTGTACAGTACAGAGTAGTTATAAATTGACCTTTTATATTTACAATAATTTTTTTTTCAATAATACTAATGTTTGAGTAAGCAATATTTTTTTTTTAATTCTGAAGTTGGGTTAGGTAGAATTTAGCCTACTGGAGACAGCAACAGGGAGATTCATTAGCTTGGGGGAGACTGCAGCTTCACATATTGGACGTAGGCTGATTTTTTAGCCATTTTCCAGACAAGAAGTGAGTCTTATATGCCATAAATACGGTACCTAAATCGCAATGCGGCCCATGACAGAAAAAGTTGCCCATGCCTGCTGTATGTTATTATATTCAGTATACCCTACTGTATAACAAAAGTAGCATACAGTACCTGCAGAAAATTGACAGCTCTTTTGTCCCGTGTCCTGAACTGGAGTGCTTTTATGGACGTGTAATCTGAAAGATTAATTTAAAAAATTTAATTTTAAAAGAAATTTGTTATTCTTGTATAATTCCAATAACACTCCTTAAAACCTATTAAAGTAAATAAGTTATTACATTTAGTAAGCATGACAAACTAGAGGAGGAGACTCTGAATAAGTAAATTGTGGACGTATTTTTACTTGTTACAGTACTTAGTAATTTTTTAATTATTAATTCAGAAAAATTCAAGAAGTTCAAATAATGATATAATCTACTTCAGTTGTGCTGCTAAATTTAGTTATACTGTAATTAGGTATTTAGTAAATTGTAAAGGATTGAAACATTTTTTTTTTTAATAAAAGACAATTCTGAACTTTAGAAGGAAAATGAAAATATAAATGAGTAATTAATAAAAAAAAACTATCTGTAATACCTCATTCCCCTAGGGACCCCCCCCCTAAGAGGAGATAATCACAACTAAAGAACTTAAGGCCACCCTACCAATAAATATATTTTCCCCTTAATTGCTCTCCCATTGGCAAGTTGTTTTATGTTCCCCCCTCCATGATACAGGTAATCTCCCTCTATGCAATATACTTGCAACACTACCTCTTTATACCACCTTTTAATCATATCCTTTTCATGCATCCTTACCATAACTTATCTCCTGTATCACTTGGCAATTCACTTAAACTACCTCCCCCCATCTATTCCAAAACTACTACAGGTTGTACCTCTCCAGTCCGGCAACCTCGGGACCTGACCGGTGCCGGACCATGGAAATTCACCCTTTTCCTGGATAGATAGTGACTTGTGCTTATGCTTGGAAGCACTAGCACCACTTTCTCTGCATCATGGTCTCTTTTAAGACATATTGAAGGGTTAAATGTCGTATAGTAGCTTCTCAAATTTCGCGAGTTTTTAATTCAACGTATTTTATTGGAACACAAAAAAAAATAGAAATTTTGACGGCAGAAACTTGAATTTCGGCGGGTTTGAACGGCCCGCCAACGTGCAGACGACGTGCATAATCGTGTAAACAGTGTCATTTCTCTTATGTACAAAAGATTCATTATTGTTTATTACTGAATGTCTTTTTTATTGAATTAATGTTTATGTGTGCAAAATGAGCAATACAATTCATTAATAATACGTAGAATATTAAAACACTCGAGGAAATGACACAGCATTGTTTTCGTTGATTACAAAACCAGTGACTGACTGGTTCTACATATAAAACTGAAGAAAATAAGACTTTGGTTGTAGCTGTAGTAAAATTAATATGGTTGTTTTAAGTAATTTTATTTAATGTTAATAAATGTTACAATAGAAGTAGCTAACGATAATGGTAAAGAAAAAAGAGAGATCGCGTATGTAAGTGCGCACACGTGAAAACATATCGTCATTACTTTACATAAGAATATGAAAGCAACATTTATTTACTGTTCATATATATTTTAATTCATGTTTCTTTATTTGTTTTTATTGAATTAATGTTTGTGTGTGCAAAATTAACAATACAATTTATTAATAATATGTGGAATATTAGAGGAGACAAGAAGACGAGACGGCTGATGGCATTGTTTATGTTAAAGCTTACAAAACCAGTGACTGATTAGTTCTACATATAAAACTGAAGAAAATAAGACCCTGATTGTAGCTGTAGTAAAATTAATGTAAAAAAAATAATATGGTTGTTTGAAGTACCTGTAATGTTATTTAATGTTAATAAATGGAACAATTTAAGTAGCTAACCATTAATGGTAAAAAAAAGTGAGACTGCTCGTATGTAAGTGCGCACATGTGAAAACATATCGTCATTACTCTACATAAGAATATGAAAGCAACACTTATTTACTGCTCATATATATTGAAGGGTTAAATATTGTACTCTGTATAGACAAGCTGAGAGAGAGAGAGCAGCCGAACTGCCGGATGTAAACAAACCTTAATTTCCCGCAGCTTTGTTGTAGTTTTTTTTACGGGGATTAGCCCACCCGGGCATAGGTCACTGATCCACATTGGGGCCTGAGGGGCAAAAATTTAATACTCCTGTAATAATAATAATTCAGATAAGTAAAAAAAAAAAAAAAAAAGTTGCCTATCTACCTATTGGACAAACTAAAATCGTTCTGGACCACGGGAGTTTCCGGACCACAGAATGTCAGACTAGAGAGGTACAACCTGTATATGCTTCAAAATCTCACCCTTTAAATTCTGTTGACCTCAAAGTCAGTCCATGAGTAATTCACACATGTAACACTAATTTTAGAGCAGTACTTCACTCCATCCTACGTTTCACATCCATATTGTCAAGGTAGGAAATGTTATATTATCTCCCAGTTCCTTCATTACGTCTAGCTTACATTTCTTTTTTTCAGTTAGTATATCATACTTCAGTTCTCCAATCACCCTCCTCCCATGATGCTGACTGTAGTTACTCAAAAAATTATCTATACAAAATTGTGTTGAGAAAATATGACACACCGGATGAAGGATTTTGTTAACCCCACCAAGACAACAGGAGTCACAGTGTTCATTCTGAAATCCCCCACAGTGATATACAGTACTTGTAACTGATAAATGTAATGTGATATGACCAAACCAATACATTTTAAATACTGAATACTGATGGAGACAGATATAATTAATTTAAACCAAGTGTGTGTGTGTTTAAAGACAAATTAAAATATTTAAGAAAAGCTTTTCATTGTCCATAGTTTCCAAATTAAGATGCTACTCACCATCTCCAGCTTTTGGCATATTCATGTTGAGAACCTTATTTTGGACAGGACTGGCCATTGAAGTATCCACAGAAGGCAGTCCATCAAGGGGAATAACCGTTTCACCTATTGCCTCCCCACTTTGGAAAATTTGATGATTCTTCAGGATAAATAGAAGATGGCCAGACTTCACCCCATGATCAGTTGGGCTAATGGGACTGTTAATATAATTAATTTTAATAACATTAACTAATGTATGATATTGTTTGCTTCAAAAAGTTGTTAGTGCTTGTGCTGTTATGTGAATGATGGTACCGTTAGTGTGAAAGAAGTGTTGGTGAGGGAGTAAGTAAGCCTTACAACTTTCCTAAGTTGTGGTAAATACAGGTAGGAGAATACAGTGCAGTACGTTAGAAACTGTTACAGAAAATCATGTATATTGAATTATACCATTCCTAAAAATGAAATAAGTAAGCATTACAGGTAGTAAAAATATGCATTATACAGTATTAGCATATTTTCGTTATAACATAAAAATTATGAAAATAATGAAAAACAATTTAATTTGGGGATTTTTCTTCATAAATCAAAGCATGGGCCTAAAAACATTGTAACTTTCAATTTTTATAAACAAAATCTCTGTAAATTAGGGACTGTTTGCATTAGGTGACACTACATGGGTTACTTGGCAGGGCCATCACTAGCTACCAAAATGATTCTTTACTTTTACTTTTATCCTCTTCACTGATCGGCTCGTTAGCCGATTGGGCGATCGGTCACGTCTCTGGTACACACTGTTGGCAAGTACTGGGCATGCACCGGCTCCTGAATGCATCTGAACCTGCTCCAGTGTTGGTCAAGTCTGGTTGTCATTTTAGACCCATTTGGGGTCTTTTCTGCACTAGTTTTCAAAGGATGCACTACATATATAAATGTTGATAGAAAGATGAAGGTAGCTGGTCACTGGTGATCTAACAACTTTTCCATCATAAAAATATGTAAACCTCACCAATACAAGACTGATGTTCAATGTCTCACTTCACTGATCTTAATTTGGTTTGGGGCCCAGCAGAAAACATTTGGGGCATGTCCCCCACGTATCAGTACCTAACGATGCCCCTTTCAGTAGAGAATATTTGAAAAAATAAATGAAATAGAATTAGAGTGTGTTTATGAGTTAAATAGGGTTAAAGATGCATGAAGGAGTGTTTGGTACCATACAGGGATGCATGGGGTAATGGATCCTGTACAAGGATGTTGATACATTGAGGAGTGTTAAAAGATGTACAGAATTAGGGGTGCATGATGGCATGTTTTTTTTTTATGTTTTACAAGGGTGGGAATAGCTTGAAGAAAGTAAACTGCTGGAAAGGGGTATGTGAAAGTGTTTTGGTATTGCAAAAGGATGGTGACACAAGAGGAAGTCAGCAAATTTCAACACTTTGACATAGGGAGATGGATCATTGGATGTACAGTACTATATATTGACACTCAATGATTGATGGTACATGCATATTGATTAAATAAACAGTGAGATTCCATAAAAAAAAAAAAAACCATATACAGGCAGTCCCCAACTTACGACTGGGTTAGGGACCCAAATCCAGGTCGTAAGTCGAAAATGCAAAAATAATACATAGAAAATCTAAAATGGGTGTCTCTTTTTCTTCTCAGCACCACAAAGCTCTCACTTTTAAGCTTGCCAGCCATTTTAAAGGGAATTTAAAAAAAAAAAATTTCAGTACACAGCGCAATCACTAACGTCGGGACTCAAAAATACGTAATTTGAAAACATTTTCGTACGACTGGGGCAGTCATATGTCCAGGTGGTCGTAAGTCGCGGAGTACGTGTAGTGTGTGTATACAGTATGTTTGTACTTAATTTATAAAAATCAATGTTTTTTTTAATATAGCTAATTAGAAATTCATACCTTAATTTTCTCAATATTAGGTGGAAATGACAATGTATAAAGTATCTCAACATATACTGTACGAGTTAAAGAAGCATACATACAACTCAAATTTTTCTTGAAATACTGGAGCATCACTTCTTTTTTGATTTTTTGTCTTGGGGCTGGAAATATTAGGGAACCACTCACTCGGCACTAACTTGATCTGGACAAATGTATCAGGAAGCTTTCCTGAAGGTTTGCAAATATTTCTGGCCATGACAACTTCTACGATGAGCTTGCCAGTCCTTTTAAAGAAAGCCTGAAGAAATTTACAATACTGTATTAGATTTTCTCATTAAAGCCTAGCTACTGATTATGAAATTTAACTAAAATATAGCACATTTTAATTACAGCACATATATACTGTACTGTAAAATACCACTGTGGCAATGTCAGGTGAAACTTAAAATTTTCAGTCTTCTACAGTGAATGCCTTTACTTAATGAATATGTGGCAAAATGTCTAAGGTTAGAAAATGTGAAACACTTAATGCAGCAAACATAATCCTGGAGCATCAGATCTAGAATTTTGTATGTACAGTATTCTCTCTTGTGTGAGCTTTACCCACATCCCATCAGCATGTCTGAAGATATTTTCAATTTTAGTGAGTATTATGACCTGCCCTATGACCCCTAAAAGAAAATATAGTGTAGAACTTGATATGTAGTGGGGGTTATATAAGTTTGGTTAAAAACAATTCATCTTTTCTTGAGATAATGTGATCACATGCATTTTTTTAAATCAGATATCATAAAGAAAATAGTTTTGAAATTTTAATAAAGTACCAGTTATATAAATATGGTCAACATTTATTCATCTTGTCTTCTTCAATGTCCTTCTCTCTCCAACATTCAAATTTCCATCCCTTTAGCATCTTGCTTGTACCTTCATCTTCAATCCTCCCCCCCACCCCCCCCCCCATAATCCTCTACCTCACTGGCATCATTCTGTTTAAATCTGTCCCTTTTGGGGGGGGGGGGGGGCCTACTACTTCCTGCTGACTACCACCAAGACTACATCTTCACCCTCTTCTCTTACTCCTGTACAGTAAGTTCAACTTTACACACCTACTTACATGGACAGTAAGTCCAGCTGAATATACTCGTCCTTACAGCTCAGGTGTACATTCTCATTCACTTGTACAATTAATTCAGCTGAACACTCACCTGTACAATCAGTTCAGCTGTATATGAGGAGTGGGCTCTTTGCAACTCTTCGTATCTTTCCTTGTAATACTTTGCTATGAGGGATTCTGTTGGCATCTTCAAATTGCAGAGAGTTTTTTGAAGTGACTGGTACTCTATAAAGACAAGTAGTGTAATGTACATTTCAAAATCAATATAAGTGCAATACCTTTGAAATCTAATCACCTGCAATTATAACCTGTAATTAATATAAATAGAAGTTTGGTAATCATTTACACTCTTCTAAGGTGGAAATGACAGTGGGAGAATGGTGCAAGACATACATAAATGACAAGAAAAAAAGCTCAGACAACAAGTATAAATAATCCACATATACATCTATGACTTCACAAATCAGTTTTTCAATGAAATTTATTTACAAACTAATTGTCAACGACCACTTTTCTCCGAAAACTAACCAGTACAATGAGCTTCCTGGGGGTCAAGTCCTCTGCGATCAGTGGGGGTGAAAAAGTACCATGTACGCTCTAAGACCTTGCAGACGTTTTTGAAGTACTCTGCATTCCGTTTCTAGAATTTATGAAAAAATAATCATGAAATCTGATAATTAAATGAAAAATTATACTGTATAGAAAAATTTATGATACTACTACATGACCTACATCCATAAATATAATTCTTGAAACGATCACACTAATACAGTAAATTAAAAAAATTCACTTCTTCAACCTTGGCTATTTGAAACCTGTGTGTTATTCAGCATAAACCAGCTTGCAATAATTTGCCCTCACAGTTTTCTGGACTTGCGGCTTCTTCAATCTTGAGCTGTGACCCCTTGTGGGGTGAGCGTCCGCCAGTTCCAAGTAAGGACACTCGACTAAGTAGTGCCCCTTGAGATGCTTATACACCTCAATTAGGTCGCCCCTTGCCCGTCTGTAGTATAAGCTAGGCAAGTTCAGGCGCTCCAATCTCTCAGGGTAGTTGAGGTGCCGAAGTGCAAGCACCAGTCTGGTGGCCATCCTTTTAAACATTTTCAACCAACTGACAGTCCCTAGCATATCTCGGGGACCAGACGGGGTGACAGTACTCCAGATGGGGAAGCACTTTTTTCTTGAAGATTGTTATGAGGGACAGACCGTCTAGATATCTGAACGACCCTCTTATAAGACCCAATAATTTATTTGCCCGATTTACTTTCCTCTCGTGGCCGGAAAACTTCAGCTCATTGTCAACATAGACACCTAGGTCCTTCTCACATTGTCTCAAATAGTGCAGTTTCTTCACCCAGTTGGGACATATGATACGCCTCCTTACTGTAGGTACGCCCCAGGTGCATCCACTTACACTTCGCGACATTGAATCTCAGCAGCCACTTCTTTGACCATTCTTGGAGCTCACAGAGATCCTTCTGCAGCTCTTTACAGTCTGCTTGGTTCTCAATTTCCTGAAAAAACTTGGTGTCATCGGCAAACATTTGTATTTCTAGTTCTGTTAGGGTGTTTGATAGGTTGAGCATAATAAGTGTTATATGAAGAATGTGATGAACTCGTGGAGGTAGTTTGTAAGCCAGAATAAGGCTTTTTTCTTTTATCCTCTTCACCAATTGATCAGCTCGTTAGCCGCTTGGGCGATCAGTCACGTCTCTGTTACGCACTGTTGGCAAGTACTGGGCATACACCAGCTTCTGAATGTACCTAAACCTTTCTCCAGTGTTGGTCAAGTCTGGTCTTGAAAGAGCTCACACTCGGTGCCGTCACAACTACTGGCTTTGCTCTACAGACATTCACCCTGTTTAGTTCCTGCTACTGTGTGGTACCAATATGTGATTATGACAACGGTTGATGCTTGTTTTGTATTTACAATGTATAATGACAGTTGATGCTTGTTTTGTAAGTACAATGTAATAATAAATAATAATAATAATTAACGGTTTATTAATAGAGTTGCAGCCGGTGGCTGAAAATATACAAACTTACATGTGATTTAGACAATGATATACGTTCAATACATTTACAGGGCTGTACAGTACATAAATCAGGAGTTATGTCTGATCTAGGTCCCAGCCTTTCCTTAATCGGGTTATTTCTAGAGTAAATAAAAGAGAGAAAACCATAAGTGTGTGTCATATCCCTGCTTTGTTCTTGCTACATTAGTACAGGATGAAACCAGCGTAACCGGAGAAAACCTGCGATGTTTGGTGGGTCACACGGGTTATTGTAACACCCTTCTTAAGTGTGTTCGGGTCAAGCACGACTCAAACCTATGACGCATGTTACCGCTGTACTCAAACACTGACAAATTATGGTACAGGTAGTTATAATTGTATTTACGTAAATTTACCAGCTTCACATATAGCTAAGCCCATGAAGTTTTGGTTTAATTGAAAACAGACAAAAAATTCTTAATACGGTACTTACATTAGAATTACTTTCCACAATGCTACAGAAGATAAGTATTAAAGCTTTCCAAATTTTCAGCAGGAAACGTTGGAAGTTTGAGTCATCCAGTCTCCTCAGCAGAACATAAAGTCTATCATCAAGAACTTCCTGAAGAAGTTGTGCCTCATTACCTGTATCACAGGAACCGACTACAGCTCTTGATAAAATTGGTTTTATCTGAAATAATAAAGAGATACCTGTACTATTGAAAATTTAAGAATGAAATACAGGGTATAAACAGACAACCAGTGCATAATACTACATACACCTACAATGTTTCTAAAAAAAATTAGACAAGATACAGTAATTACTCCAATCTGCAGGGGTATAAAAAATATACAGTGGGGTATGCTATAACGAATCTAATTGGTTCTAGAACCTTGTTCGTTATAGCATTCGTTTGTTATAGGATTAATCCGTTCCAGGCCCCCAAATACAACCACTTAACACTGAAAAATATAATATAAAATTATAAAAATTGTAAAAAAGTGCATAAATATGCATCTAAACCCCTGAAATAAAGAATATCATTAATATTTGTAATACAGTGAGTTCTGCTATAACGCGTGTTTTGATAACGCGAATTTGCTCTAACGCGATTTATGAATTCGGAACAATATTTGTATAACGCGATCGCTTGTTTGCTATAACGCGATTTTTGCTTACTATTTCTCCAATTTTGTGGTATTAACTGTGAATATGGTAAAGAAGAATATCTCCAAAAAGCATTCTGATGATAGAATTCCCGGTGATTATCGTAAAAGAAAGGATATAACACTTGAAGAGAAGCTTGATGTTATCAACCTCAAAATCACCCTTCTCCCCCATCAAGTTACATTCATATTTTTTCAAGGTAAAGTGTTAAATTTACTGTATGATTTCATTATTAGATATGAATGTAACATTTATTTAGACTGTGCTATCCTTTGTGTTAGGCTAACTACTAAATTTTTTCGATTTCGAGTAATCTGCACCTAACCCTATTTTCTCCATAAGCCCTGTTATTTCTATTACGCGATTTTCTATAACACGATATTTTACAAGAACACAATTATCGCGTTATAGCAGAACTACCTGTAATAAAACAATAAATTAGAAAAAAAAAAATTAAATTATGTTCGTTGTAGGAGTTTCGTTCGTTATAGCATTCTCAATTTTATAGGTAAAACCGTTCGTTATAAGAATATTCGTAGTAGGATCCGTTCGTTATAGCATACCCCACTGTAGCTCAATTCAGTACCAGAACGTCATCATTATCATGGTGACTTTTGAAACACTGTTAAAGTATAGGACACACTCTTCAGCAAACACAAAATTCAACCTGATCAACATTCATAAACAAATCTAACCGCATATGTGGAAAATTCAGTAAAAAGGAGTACCAATGAAGACTGGCTACGTAAGTGTTGTAACATTTACAAAAGGAACTAAAACAATATCATATCTTTACAGCATATAAACAGAATTCCAATATAATATAAATTGGTTGTAAATTTCCAATAGCAAACACATTTTTTACTTGCATCAGGTCTAATTTTACTCAAGGAGTGTGTGTCAATTTCTAAGAAATTCCGATGTTCATCAATTGAGCAGTAGGAACACCATATTACATCAACTATGTTTAATATACATCAGAAGAGAGAAAGAGTACTGTACATAATGAATACTATACATATAAAATGTAAAATACCACAAGTATTCATAGACTTAGGTGTTACCAGCTTTATAGCAAATTACTTTGGCCGCCTTATTACCTCAAAACTGTAGCTGTGGGCGTTTTAGGTGCCAGTGCAAACAAAGGCCTTAGTTCTTGGCTTGGGTATATCCACTTAACTTTATTCTACATGTATGTTTCATTCCTACACACTTTGCACTTGTTTAACATGTTCATAAGATTCTCAAATCATTACAGTGTTCATGGTTATTCGTCACATGGGTTAACAATGTGTATAAGTTCACACCGAGGTACACAAGATATTTTTCTTTAAGTATAGTTTATGGGTCAATTCCAACACTTCACATATGTCTGATACATTTATCCTTTTCCCAGATCATTGTTATCTTATATTTTCATCTGATACTTGAGGTAGCTATGTTCACTAATTGTATACATCGTAAATACCATAACCTTCAGACACGGTCACACTTATTCACTATACAGTAATATCTCCCTTAGCCGGAATCCCTCAAACCCAGAACTCTCCCAAAGCCGGAATTGAAATTTTCTTGGAAAATTGTTCCCAAAGCCTGAATTTTCCGGAAAATTCAGGCTTTGGGAACGATTTTCTGAGGGGTACATTTTCCAGAAAATTTCGAAAAAATTTCCTGATACCTGGAAAATTCCGGGGATGAGAGATTTTTTTTCCGGGTTTGAGAAAGTTGTCTCGTTACACAAAAATCGCTCATTCCCGGAAGTACTCTGCACCAATTGCTCTGGCTAATGGGGATATCACTGTAGTACACTAGTCCGTATCAAATGGGCCTTCCCAATCATCATATAGGTACTGTACCTTTAGTTCTCCCTTAATACTCTCAGTATACATAAGATTATATGCACGGACACTGGTAAAATTCATATAAAACAACATACAGCATATGAATTACCCGTTCCAAATGTTTACCATTTCCTGTGACTGACTCCCCACTAGCGCGGTGAGTTTGAATGTTATGTAGCTGTAATATGAATCAAGAGATTATAGAGACCGTTACTGATGTACGCAGTACACTAGGATGGTCTCTACTTTCAAAAAAGTCCTTTTTTCTTTTTCTTTCTTTTATCCTCTTCACCACTGATCGACTCGTTAGCCGCTTGGGCGATCGGTCACATCTCTGTTACATGATTAAAATATCCCAAAACTGAAAGACTGCAATGACATAATTGGGACATTTATGACAAAAACCTCTATAGGCTTAAACTATTAAGAAAAACCTTTATACATTGAGCTGTGTATCCTTGAAACAACCTCCCACCTAGTGCTATAAATTCAGAAACTGTAGAATGCTTTTTGCTATGATATAAACATGATGGTGGTAGAACAAGAAATAGGATAATATCTAAATGAAAGAAATACCTTTATACATTGAGCTGTGTATCCTTGAAACAACCTCCCACCTAGTGCTATAAATTCAGAAACTGTAGAATGCTTTTTGCTATGATATAAACATGATGGTGGTAGAACAAGAAACAGGATAATATCTAAATGAATAAATAATACAAACCCATTCATTTAATTGGTTAGATTAATTGTTACTGCTAAATCTTTGTAAATATTCCAACTACCAATAAATAACCTGAAAACCTATGTCAACATAAGGTATTTTATGGAAAAATCCACTTACTTTTTTTATGACATTGTCCATGAAGAGCAACAATGATCCCTCCATCTTTGATGAAGTCTTCTTAACAACAGAAAACTGTTCTTTATCATCATCATTCGATAATTTAAGGAGCGTTGGAAGACCATCAATTTCTTGTCGCAGGTACTCAATGTTGTTAAGTCCAATACAGGTCTGAAATATCCAACAAGCAAGTGATGCCCACAGGTTTCAAGTCCGATAACACAACATAAAGTGGACCCTCAGTACAGAAAAAAAGGTTAGGTTCCAAAGAGTCTCAGGCTCTAGCAAATAATTTGTTTTATCAAAGTTAAATTCTTATGTGAAAAATAAAAGATTCAACAATAATGTTTGTGAAAATGTTATAAAATCATCTGGTGTTCCCTTAGTGAAGGGGTTAGTGCAGATAGTCTACTAGCCCCTTGTGTATAGGGTCCCCTCTGAGCTGAATAAAATCATTTGGTGTTAGCCAAATACAATAATAAAAGTGGCATCCCTGAAGTGAAGGAGTTAGAGCATGGGGATATACATTTTGTTCTTTTCTTTTGACGACTTGAGCTGCACTGATAAATTCTGCTCAATGCCTTTATCATATAACCCAATTGCTGAGCCTGATCAAAAGATGAACGCTGAAGTTGTTTCTCTCTTTCAATATTAGATAGCTACTATTCTACCATCAAATTTCAAAATCTGAATTCCTAGTTTTCACCTGTGTAGGGAGGAACATGGAGTCTGGTACAGTTTCTTCACGAAGGCTTGAGTCTAACTTAGCCATCACCAGCTTGGTATAAAGGGTGCCCAACCCACAGAGATCCTGAAGCAGACGTTTTGCCACTTTTTCTCCTCCTACCTCATCGGCCCATGCTAACCTTTGCCATGAATCATTAATCTGAAAATATTTATCACTTTATTATAATTTCAAATGAAAATCACAAGCACACATAATTTTAAAGTTACTGTATACTTCAGCATTATACTTCATGTTCTTACTTCACTGAATAATTGTGTATAAAGTAAATATTGTTCATGTAATGTGAAATTCTCATCAAATTACAGTGCTCAATTGAAAATCTACATCAGAATACAGTACAGGTGGCCTATCAAAAATCCGGCAACCGATAAACCGGAACCTTCAGTTTTCCGGCATGGATTTCGGAGCGCATTTTCAAATATTTCTTTGTTTATTTAATGAAGATATATGTTTTAGCTCATAAAATTCATACAAATTACCCGGCCAGAATATAATTTACATTGCTGGAATTCTTACAATTTGATGATCATTTTGAATATAAACATCATAGATTTTGCATTAGACATACAAATTTTAGATATAATGTTTACTCTGAGTAAATATGTTATCTTTTTTGCAAAATATATGACATTTATATTCAAAATATTCCTGGTCTTACAAGGAATCCAGCAATGTCAATTATATTATCCTAACTTAAGTGTTTAATTTTCTTTGTTTAAAGGACTGTACAGGTAGTCATTTTCTGTTAAACTTATACAGCAAATATAACCATCAGTTTTCCGGCATTTTCGAAAATCCGGCACTCCTCAGGTCCCGAGGTTGCCGGATTTTTGATAGGCCACCTGTAGTTGCAAATTAAATCCAATTAGTACTGCAAAAAAACTCCAGAAAAGTTGCTGTTCAGTATCATAGACAACATGCTATCACTTGAGCAACCAGCACTCAAACCTGTATATGAACACCATCAAAATTAAAAACAATGACAAATATTTCTTCTCTCACATCATTAAGTCCAGTTTTGTCAACTGCCTCCAGTGCCTTTACACTCACTAAACAAACACAAAACAAAGTAAGATTAAAAACTAAATACAATAAATGTTAACACCAACAGATCTCACAAAATTATCTATTATGAGTGTGAGAAAACCTTCAGTATATCTGAAAAAGTAGGAATAAGACTTAAGATACATTACAGTATACTGTACTGTTGTACTCACAATCGTAAAGTTAGATTTGGTCTCACATGCAGACAAACTTATTGTAAACTCAGAATTGGTCACCGTGTAAGCAACTTCAAATTCATCTCTTTCAACATCTTTAGTAACAAGGGCTCTTGTGCGAACCAGCATCCTTTCCTGCCACCTGATGACACCGCCCAGGAACCATTTGTGATATCCTCTAATGCCTGTCTGTAGCTGAACTTCATCGGGAAGATTTTCACCAATCCTGAAAAGGCATAAAAAAATACAAAATAATCTACATCATTTTCTGAAAACTAAAAATTACTTTATATCCAATGAAATTATTTTACACTAAAGTAGACATTTCTATCTCTACATTAATCTTTTCAGGATCATGAAACAAGTTACAGCATAATTAATTTTTTTATGTAATTTCAATAAATAAGTCCATTAGCATGTATCTTTTTCACTAAAGCACTGTATTTTTCTAATACCTGTATATACCTAAAATAAAAATAAAATATATAATTCTGAAAAATAAAAACGGTCTTATCAGTTACAGTGGATTCTCGATAATTCATAAAATACTTACTCTTTTTTTTTAATTTTGCTATAAAATAATAATAATTTGTAGCTGAAGCATAGTGTTTATTTACAAAAAATTAAAAATTAAATTTGTGGAAATATCCTTTCATTGCTCAAATTTGACTTGAAAATCTAGAAAATATAATACTGTATAAATATTACTTCAATGCACTAATGTGACTTAGAAATACTGTACACAATATATTGGGACCGAGTCAGGGGCTGATACTCTTTGTAATGGTGGTTGTCATCTCTGTTTATTACATCACAGTGAGGCTGCAATATTTGAATCTCAGGGTCAATGCACTTGGTGAGCAAATTCCCACTCCAGCCTAAAGAGCTCAGCTGCTAGGTTTCCATTTGGTACAGTAAGTTCCATTACAGTACTTTAGTAAAGAAAATCTCTGCTGAACTGTATGGTCATATTATCAGAAGGGAAGCAGGAGAATGGAAGGCAGGAGGCGATGCTTTGGCCACCCTGGATGACTAAACTGCCAGTGATTCTATCAGCAACTTTATTATTTACAAGTCATATAATGCAAGTTAACTGTCATTCATATTTTCCTTTATTGTGTTCATTTCCACGAATTAAAAAAGGGTAATGAAACGGTTAGTTTGGTTACAATAAAGGTGGATTTGGTACAGTGGCAGCAAAATCAGTTGGCAACTGTGTCTCAGCCTCTCATTGCCCTCCCTCCCTCCCTCCCACAACCTCCTGAACAGTCTAGACTCCACACGCCCACTCACTTTAGTGCAGCTAACCTCACAACAGCATTACCAAGATCTCTATTACAGTACACTAAAATATCTGAGCACCCTGCAATTTTCCCTCAACCTTCACCTTCAGTAACACCCAAGAAGAAATCCTACAAGATATTTACTAGGTTTTCCTTGTTATATGACTTAACCAGTTAAGACGAATGGAAAGGTGCACTCTATTAAGACATTGAAACCTTGGGTAAATTTTTCTTGTAGCTCCGTTCACTTGTAGCAAGTTAAAAATATATGTTTCTATTGTATTTGTGAGTGCTGAGACCGAATATGGCCTTCCTTTTTGGCGGAAATTAGCCGGGTTTTTTTTTGCGATTTTTTTTCGTTTGATGTTTTCCGAGAAAAAAGTGCCTAAGCGACTAACAAACACACAATAAAACACTAGAAAAACAATAACCAAACCAAACCAAACCAAACCAAACCAAACCTAACCTAACCTAACCTAACCTAACCTAACCTAACCTAACCTGACCTAACTTAACTGACTCACCATATGATGGAATCCCCCATTTCTTACCTTATTGGCCTGGTTCTTGTTCGTCGTTGCATTCTGGGATTCTTACACAACGCCACATATGTTGGTCTTTACGATATTTACATTCAGTCTTGCTCTTAGTACACTTTACTGAGGTTGGAAGAACACCATGCGATCGAAAAAATGCTATAGTTTCTACATTATTTTTTTTTCCAAAAACTCGCAATCAGCTCCATATACTTTAAGTGACACCCATTGCAGACTTCCATGGTCGGAATTGAACTTGAATTTCAAAATATGAGAGACCCAAAATAAAACTCGATTTTGATTGGGCCAAATATACTCTGAATTAGCAAAAACGCTTTTGATTGGCCACGTGACGTGTGCGGATACGCATGCGCGTCATCATTTATGAAGGAGACTCGAGCAACACGCAGTGTTAGGTGAGAGGCAGACGATAATGGCGCGATGTTAATGGAAGAAAATAGAAAAAAATTGGAAGAGCTATCTCCGTTATTATACATTTCCGCCGGTAATGTAATAGATGAAAATTATCTTATAATTAGACGTCTTATTCGAATATGATAATAGATTAGTGGTAGGAATGAACGGAGCTACAAGAAAATAATACCAAACCTTGTGATAATCCAGCACTAATATCACAGAAAGCAAAACAAAACACTGTTCTAGACTTACTTCTGAATAGAGTCAAACTTCTTGTAAAGCTGCCATACTGGTGTGCCAGCCTCTAAGGCTCGTCGGTCTGCTTCATCATGTTTCACACTTGATGTGGCATGAGTGTGTTTCTCTTTAGATGGCGTGTCATATATTTTAAGCAATAGAGGTCTCACTCGAGCTCCAAGTTCAGACGTCAAAAAGATGTATGTTAATCTCAGATATGATATTTTTGCTTCCCTATAAGGAAAAAATGCATGCATTAAAAGAACATCATGTCCATAATAAAGAATGAGATTTGAGACGATCTTAGTTTTATTGTTTTATGGCTAAACTATACTAAAGCCAACCCAAATGGGACATCCCTTAATTGGAATTCTCTAAAATCCAGATTTAATAATAATAATAAAAATAATACAGTAATATTTATTCAGTAAAATTGTCATTCAGTGGTTTAGAAACACACTCTATTCTCCTGCTGTAGCTTCAACTGTTATATATTTTTTTGTTTTAGCTTTGAATTGTTTAATAGTGTAACTGGTTTTGATGTGGACCGGTAACTTGTTCCAGTCTATTATTCCAATAAAGAAGAAAGTTGTTTTTGCTTGACCACAGACACCAGGTACCATAAAATTATGTTCACTCCCTCTAGTGCCCTTCCGGTTCCTATCCCTAATCCCTGCAAAGCTTGTTGTTAGGTACTCTGGGCACAGTCCATTAAAATTCCTGTAAGCATGATTCAGCCTCAGTTGCTTCACTCTATCCATCACACTTTACACATTTAGTGATTAAAGAACTTGTAACCAACGTATATCATATCTGTGACTAATTCTATCTCTGCTAGGCCACACCTCTTATTTCCCTATGCATAACAAATAGTATGGGTACATTTGGGGACTAAATGTATGTTATTTGTACTTGTCACAAGTGTATACTGTACACCATTACGACAAGAATAAAGTTGGCTGTCGTACATATGACTTTCTTTTGCCCAACATAGGAAAAATTGTCTAGGTACTGTATTCACAAAACCTGGACCACTCTTCCCCCCCAATAAGTAAGGCTTATGGTGGAGATAACTGTACTAACAAGAGAACTTATAAAATTATAAAATTATTTACAATAAATTTTGTTATTACCTTGAAAATACATCATGATAAAACTTGCAGACATCTGAGAGGAAAGTGTAGACCTCGCCTGTAACGCCAACAGCAGCAACCAGTTGTTGGTCCTCAGTTGCCGTTGGTGAGTTCCTTCTACGGTTCTTAAGAGAGGATTCCCACCTTATGGAAAACATTACCATGTGTAAATTTATGAAATATTTTACACATCTATTTATATAATATTTACAAAAATAAAAGGTGGGAAAATGCAATCAAATGATTATGAATCAAAGTTTGTTTGACAGTGAACAAAGTCATGATGTGGACATAAATCCCATGATACTGTACATATAACAGACTGAGAAGATAATTAATCAACATTAAACCCAATATTATCCCCACAGTTAAGGGCTGCAACAACAAGTGTAAAATTGTAGTCTTTTGAAGAGTAATGAACAATAATGAAAGCTTTTCTCTATCCAGAGATACTGATCATACACTTACCAAATTTTCAAGTAGTCTGTGAGTGCCTCTGACACCTGTTCATTAACAGATATATCTTTAGGGAAAACCTTGAGTTGCCGTGTCTCAGGATTGGCTTCAATGGCATGAAGATTTCTGGAAATTTTAAAGCAAATTGTAAACTCTCAAAATTTGCGGTTTCCTAAGACATTTTTGTGGTACAGTCGTGAACTTAAGTAATGTTACCTATTCTGTTACTCCATGAACCCCGAGATTGAGACTCGAATCCAAAGCATTTATGGATGTTCAAAGGAGGGCCACCAGACTGGTGCCTGCACTTCGGCACCTCAGCTACCCTGAGAGATTGGAGAGCCTGAACTTGCCTAGCTTATACTACAGATGGGCAAGGGGCGACCTAATTGAGGTGTATAAGCATCTCAGGGGGCACTACTCAGTTGAGTGTCCTTACTTGGAGCTGGCGGACGCTCGCCCCACAAGGGTCACAGCTCAAGATTGAAGAAGCCACAAGTTCAGAAAACTGTGAGGGCAAACTTTTTCGGAGTGAGGGTTGTAAACTCTTGGAACAATCTACCAGAGAGTGTTGTGACGGCACCGAGTGTGAGCTCTTTCAAGACAAGACTTGACCAACACTGGAGCGGGTTCAGATACATTCAGGAGCCGGTGCATGCCCAGTATTTGCCAACAGTGCGTGACAGAGACGTGACCGATCGCCCGGGCGGCTAGCGAGCAGATCTTTTGGTGAAGAAGATAAATGAAAAGGAAAAGTAATCAGAGACATGACCAGTCGTCCAAGCGGCAAACAAGCCGATCAGTGGCGAAGATGATAAAAGTAAAAAGTAAAAGACAGAATAATGCATCAGTGTCTACTGCTTAGGGTTCACAAGTCTGAACCTCGGGTTCATGGAGCAGCAGAAGAGGTGAAAGGACTTTTCTTTGTTACTGTAAATGATTCCTGTTAATTTTAGTTTATGTTTTGTTTTGTTTTAATTTTACCATTAACGTACATTTACTGAACCAGTTAAACAAGTTACTTTTCATTTGCCAGACAAAAAAGCTTTCATTCAAAAAAGCCTGACCTATTATTGTACATATATTTTCAAGATCTTCATACCAATAAAAACAATAAAATTTAAGAAACTTTTTCATTTTCACAAACCCAAAAAGTGCGGCATACATCTATAGAACAGATGCATTTAAATTGCATGTGGTGACTATTAGTAAATTTTTCATTTTGAAGTGAAGCCCCTTAACACGTATGTGACCATTAAATGTGGCCCACTTACCCAGTACAGTATATTATAAAAAGGTTGAGGTCCTCTGGTTTATACAATATTAAAAAGGAATTCTTATCTTTTATAAACAATTCTCAAAATTTTCAGTTTTCTTCAGGAATTACGTACAAACTTTTATGAAATAGCTTTTCACTAACCTCAACATGCCTTCAAGTTGGGGACATGACACAAATTTGTTTGATGCGGGGAAGTACGTTATTAAGTTTCTTAGTCTATTAAACTGAGTTGATGTCCACTTTCTCAAAGAGCTTCTTATTTCCTGCAAATGATATTAGTTATTGTAAACAATCCATACATTCTAATAATAAACATTTTCTGACAACAAATATTGGCAATCATTACTCTCGTAAGCTATATGTTTCAACTGCAGACTAATTAATGGACTTCTGTTAAATCATTGGCCTCTGACATCTGTCCACAGAATTCAGTTATATATTTCCTTACTAAAAAAAAAGCTTATCTTTGCAGTTAGAAAACAAGTACAGAATCGTCAGTTACTTTCTCTATAAAAGAAATAATGATTGACTTGTTTGAAACAACATGCCATTCCTGTTGATATTTCATCATGCAGATCAACCACCTACCAATCCCCAACTGAACTTTGAAGAACTCCCCACCACAGTGTTTTCCCTGTACTGTATTAATGAACATAAATTTTATTATAGCTTTCTAAAACTCATCAGGGTCTTTCCCAGTTTAAAAATCATCTGTCAAACTTATAAAGATACAGTACAATACTCTTTATTTGTAATTTCCATATTTCATCATTTCTTAATTTCTACCCGAGCACCACTCCACAAGAATTCTCAAATACCATATCAATTGGTTTCTGACAGCTTTGACTTACCACCCAAGTGGCTAACAGGCTGATCAATGGTGAAGAGGATAAAAGTAAAAAAAAAAAGGTAAAAGCAATGTCTTCCTGCTTTCAATTTTCTCTCCTCCAAACATTATTAAGTACATTAAGTCTTCATAATATTCCTACCATATACTGTACACTACTACTACTACCTCTCTTGTTTCTATTATTCTCTCTCTCTATCTATCTTTATTTTAAATAATGGCACATTTAGTGAACAGCATACAGTACAGTACTGTATATAGTTTTGAACGTACAAGTTCCAAATCCTTACCTGAATCTCCTCTTCTGAGTACTTCTCCTCTGCCATGTAACCCTGAATGGTCTTCAACAACTGACCAAGGAAAGATTGTTCAGTGATGAAAAACTCGGATGTAATCTTCCACCATGACAGTGTAATAAAGGGTGGCGTAAGATTGAGAGTAGCAGCATAGTGGTCCAACAGAACCTGAATGGTATTGCTAAGTGAACCATTCCATGGTGTTGCCAAGCTCAAAAATGTCTGTGAAGAATGTCAAAGTATAGTCGCACAGCAGATGATAAATCTGATAAAATTACATATATTTTCCTTATTATAAAACCAAAATACCAACACACTTACCGGTACATTACATGAGAGATTAAATCAAATGAACATGAAACTGAAAATCTTCAGCATTGTCCACTTTGCAACTGCATATACAGTACTAATCTAGAACTTGCAGCATCATGACCACAGTAGATGAAAGCAAACCTGATGCTGACAAAAATTATTTCAATAGGTGGGATTTAATGGCCATACTGTGAAGGGTAACCTCACCAATTTGAGGCATTGAAAATTTTTTGCCTTCTTTACAGTAAATTAATGAAATTGGTATTACAGTCAACCCTCACTTTACGCGGTCCCACATTCCACGTTTACGCGGTATCCTGCCGAAACCGGAATGCTCACGCGAGCAGGGTGCGCACAAGGTCGCCCAGTTATCAAAACATTACCGAGTTCTTCACCCGCCACCCACCACAGCCGGCCCAAGTCAGTGATCGTGATAATGATAGTGAGGACATGGACTTGTATGGACTTTGAGGGGTTTGACAAAGAGGCCCTGCAAGCCTCTGTGGTGGATAGTGATACAATTGATACAAGTGATACAGGCGAGGGCCAATAATCTGCCCTCTGCCTCGGAACCAACCCCCATCCCCGTGTGCCCAGCCATCTTTTCTACTAATGTAAGTGTTAAAAAACCTAATATTATTGATATTTCTCTTAATTATTAATTGTGTGTGCATACCATCATAAAATTAAGAAGTTATTTTTACTACAACGTAGGTATTGTGTCTGAAAAAGTGGAGTTTGGGGGTCGGCCCGGTCTCTATTTCAATTAATCCCATATGTTATGTTGTTCACTTTACGCGTTTCTCACTTTACGCGGGCCGCCGTGGGTTGAATTAACCGCGTAAAGTGAGGGTTCACTGTACTGTATTACTGTACCTAATTTATAGGCAATTACTAAAACTGCTAACACAAGATGTACACTAGTAAACAGTCCCTCAAAAAAGGCATCACAGAATAACTTTATTCTTAAAGATTGAATAAATAAATATATAAAAGATCACAAACAAGCATGGACACAAAGGCAGCCATGCACACAAAAAATTCAGGCACATATCAATACATTAATATGCACAATAATGTAACAAGACTACCTGTGACTAAACAAAGCCTTCTTGTTTAATCCAACTAGATAAATAATCTTTACCTCATTTTCAAAGCTGCTCCCACTGCTACTGTTGCCACTGCCGACGTTGCAATCTTTAGTACTGCTGGTACTAATGCTTGTAATATTAGCACTTCCAGTGCTGTGTATACTCCTATCTCTCCATCTTTTGCCACCTCGTTTTACACTGCCATAGCTGCTCCGGTACTCAAGATAGTACAGAACCACTTTTTTAAGGAAAGCATCAAACCAATGTGGTCCTATGAGATTCAGCTGAAAACAATATTACCCAGGTTAGAATGCAAACAAAATCCTTCATGGAAAATCTAAAGAACTTAAGTAATTTGCCTAAACTGCCAAATAAACTGTTACTGTCACTGCACAGTATTATTAATCAAACACTACAGTGGAATCACAATAATTAGTGAAATTCGGATTCCTGTTCTTAAATTTGTGGGTAGTGTATCTCTATTTCTACCCCTATTTTAAGTTGTGTGTCAAATTGTGCACTGCTACTGTTCTACAGTATTTATAATTTGCTGCTGAGCACTGGTTGCTGTAGTGTTTATTTACGTAAGAAATCACTTGAGATATTTCGGTTTAGCAATATAAAATGTTTAAAGCCCCTTTCTTGTTAAATGGTCAATTTTTGGGTAAGCAATGTTCTTCTCACTTGGAAAAATTCAGGAGGGATATCGGAAAAACTGGGGATTTTGTGCTCCAAGTGAGTATCATTACAATACTCAACTGTGGTTTAGAAATAAAGAAAATACAACATAAAACTATAAAATAAGAAAAATGAAGAGCATGGGTGTGTGTGTGTGTGTGTGTGTGCAACCTGTATGTAATGGTCAGCATGCTAGCCCTACAAGCGAGTGGACCCAAATTCGATCCCTGGGTAGGGTGAAACTATGGGCAAGTTTCTTTATGCCATTTGCCTCTGTCTACCCAGCAGTAATTGGGGTACCTGGATGTTAATCTATTTGTGGATTATGTTCCAGGGTAATGGTTAGTCTATGCAGTTGGTGAGTTGTCTGGTCTTCTCAGACTATTCCCTGACACTGGGTCATGCAGCTTAATAACTCAGAGTATGGTTGTTGTGTTGGCAACAGCTTCTACACCTTAAACAAATTCATGCCTAGGTGGCCCTAGGACACAAGGATAAATGAAAAGGAAAACTGCTCAGAGACGTGACCGATCGCTCAAGCGGCTAACGAGCCGATCAGTGGTGAAGAGGATAAAACAAAACATTATGGCAGTGAGCTGTGTAACTGCAGCCAGCCACACTCTCCCTCCCCAATACAGTATGTGATGTCACAGTGTAATGGTCATGATAAGAGCTAACCTGAAAACCTTAAGGATTCATATTACGCTCAAACGTCCACAAAACCTTCTGAGTCCCCCAGTGGAAACGTCCCCCGTTTTCTCTGCTTCCCCCGCCTTTGTCTATGGGAGCAGACGCTGTATGCTGGGACCTGTTGCCATCCATTCCTTTGTAATCAATTTAATTCTGCTTTCGATAGCTGAGTCAGAGCATTGTTAGTGAAGATAATAGTAGAGAATGAAAATGAGTTCATAGTCTCAATTTCAACGTCAGAGGGTACCGTAAATTAATTCATTGGAATAGGAGTAGCTGGACTCCCTGGCCTAGTTTGAGTGAGGGCACCGCGGGCATTTTAACCGTTAGTAAGTGCCCGTCCCTTCATCCATACAGGTATGCCATTCCACGCTGTGTTGTAATTTGCCCTTCTTTAAGTGATTTGACCCAATTAATAGTTGATTGTGCAAGTGTTACAGTAACGTAGTTGATATGCTCTGAGTAAAGTCATATTTACGTCTTTAACGTCCCCTGAAACGTGTTGTTGTTGTCACCAGTTAGTAAGTGCCCGTCCCTTCATCCATACAGGTCCCTAACGCAGCCTAGGCCGTGTCTGTAGGGTGGATGTTGTATCCACTATGTCTGGGGACATGTCCGAGGTCCAGTAGGATCAGTTACCTTCGTGAGACCCGGCCGTCAGACACTTCAGACCACCTATAGCCCCCATAGCTGGCTCGTCTGGCCCTAACGCTCGGTCCACGAGGTGACCCTGGACCACCAAGCCACACACCACTACCAGCCCCCATCATTGGTGGATGAATGGCTACCTCAGTAGGGCTATATTTGTGTGGTGGAATTAACCCACTGGGATCTCCAGAGTTCGTCGGATAGTACTCCATGGTGGCTGGACCCCATGGCTGTTGCTTGAGTATCACTCCTGACGACTGAGTGTTGTAGTGGCAGTTGCCTAGTATTTATGGTGCTAAGTGACTATCATAGTTGTGTTATTGAGTATGTCCACCCCGTAGGGTTGGAAAGGTATTGAATATGTCCACCCAGTAATGGTGTGAGTATGTTGAGCCTGAGGGCCTAGTAATAGATTTCGTCTGTTAGTACAAACCAATTCTTTCTTCTAATTTCATATTCATGTTTAAATAAACTTTGTATTTGTATAATTGTGTATATTATTTACCTACAGTATTTACCGTTATTTCTTCCCTATTGCTTGATACTATCATTACACCTACCCACGAGCCTCCTATCGTCACGCTACCAATGGTGATATATAAGAGTAAAAGGAATTGTTACTGGCACACAGGCCCTCATGAAGGGTGGCAGTAGCAGCCCTCATAAATGGTGGCAGCTCAAGCCCTCATAACAGTATATAGGCAGCAGCCACATATGTCTCTTGAATCAGCTTGGTGACAGCTCAAGAGTGGGCCGGTGACAAAGTTCAGCCAGGAAGTCACCCAGCTGACTCCGAGTGTGTGGCTGCTGCACTGTGTGTGTGCCATGACATGCCAATGAGGGAGCCAGCACACAACTGGGCTGGTGACACAGACCCAGGTGTTATAAGAGAAATTAGTTATTTGAATTTAACTTAATCTAACTTGACCATCAGTGGTGAAGAGAATCAAATATTCTTACAGCAGAGGTGGTTGCAAATTGCAAGTGTTTAAACTGAAATAGCCCGAACTAGCGGAGTCGCCAGATGCGCTAGTGAGAAACTGCTCACCGCTTCCACACATATCTTCACCTTCTACAGAGAACACACACTCTTTGCTCTTAATTTGTCTTATCTTATGGTTTTACTGTACAGTACAGAGCATATAACATTTTCTTTATTTCTATGTCACAAAAGAGTATTGAAATGATTTTCCACAACTTTTATATTTTCATTACCTGTAACAATGGCAACATGCATTGCCATCTCACAGGCCACAGACAACTGGCAATGTGTGCTATACTTTGAGCTGTACATTTTGTTCTCATTGGCTTCAGTCAAAACAAATACCATGGCAATACATTCTTGTTGCATTCCATTAATGTCCTTTTATTTTTATTTTATTATATTTTTTAATTTTAAGCAAAAAAAAGAGGGGGGAAACTGAGCTTCATAATAAAAAGGCTTTGTTGCCAGAGATATACCTGTAGCTATCACCAGCATCTACAGCATACAGTACTATACTCATATGTATGTACAGTACAGAATTATTACTTTTACTTTTTTCCTATTCAGCACTGATCGGCTCGTTAGTTGCTTGGGCGGTCAGTCAGTCTCTGTTATACACTGTTGGCAAGTATCGGGCATGCACCGGCTCCTGAATTTACAGTATAAGTACCCAAGGGCAGATCCGGGGAGGGGGTCCAGACCCCCCTTTTTATCATTATTGTACTCAGGCATTTTTTGTAAAGTAAAAAGTAATTACTATTGACCTCAGAATATCTCCTAATATCAAGTGTACATGGCTTCAAAATGCCCATGATACGTATTCATATCCTGGATCCGCCACTGACACCTGCGCCAGTGTTACATACAGTACAGTATAAAAAAATTATTGTACCATTATTCTCCTTCCTTATGGCAGGATGACACAACCCTCATAAACCTTATAAAGTAGAGAAACATAAAATGTTGATAAAATTACAGTAAAGATGAATTTAAAATTTAACATGTGGGTGAATTACGTTAAAAAACAATCAACTTGTTATTGTTCTGACATTTCTTTTTTTTTCTTTTTTTTTTACGGGGATTAGCCCACCCGGGCACAGGTCACTGACCCACATCAGGGCCTGGGGGACGAAAATGTAATAATTATTCATAGTAAATAAAATTTATAATAAAAAGTAAAATAAAATAATAATGATAACAACAATAATAATAACACTGTAATAATAATAATAATAATAATAATAATAATAATAATAATAATAATAATAAAGAACTATAAAAAAGAAAAAAAAACCTGTAGTGAGAAACAATATATGAACAGTATGTTGTGTTGTCAAGACAAACAAGTAAGACCCTGCAATTGTGTGTAATTGAGACAGAAAGACAGATCAGCAACCTAGGATTTGGTTACAATTTTCGTGATGCCATATAGCAGCAGGGTCTACCATTAGACAACACATTATGCTTCACCAGACTTCATAGCAAATTTGCAAGAAAGGAAAAATATACAGTACCTGAGATACAGTGGAGAGTTTGAGGCTTAGACGTAAACTTCCCCGCTTCTTATTAGCCCGAAAACTTTCTCTCTGTGATATTAGACTGATCTCCTCTTCTTTACTCTTGACCAAGTTATACCACCCTGTTAAACTTTGGTCTTTCATTTCCTGCATAAAAAATACAAAATTAGTCTTAAACTTCAAAAATAATTTCATCAAAAATCTATAAAGAATATGATTGTTTCAAGTATAGTAGGTTGCTTTAAAAAAATCATATAAAAAGTTAAATAGTTTTCCAGAGAAATTGGTGAAAAGCATTCATACATGGTATATGCAACAAGCTACATACAGTACCTCTATTAAATGAATAGTTTTAATGCACAATAGAAAAATATATAAAGTACAGTATATTTCATGCACTGACAATCAATAGTGGTAGTATTTATGAGGTACAGGCAATGCCAAGATAAAGTAAAAAATGCAAGACTAAAAGCAAAAAGATTCCAAAAACTTTACCTGTAATCTTTTACTATATAGTACTGTAGTGCAAAGAGAAATTACCTATGCTACATAAATAAATAATGTACAAGCATACAGCATTTAGTTAATTAATCTTGACAGCAAAGAAAAATAACACTCTCATAAAACATGCACCACAGGACAATGTGTACAAGTGTTCTCTTTTTCTCCTTCAGCTGAAGGAATCATAACAAACTAACAAAGACTGGGTGACAAGGACCAATCAAATGGCCACCAAGGTCACAGACGCCACATATATCGATTTCTTCCTTTGGGATCACTTAAAATCTGTAGTCCAATAACTATTTAGGTAACCACAGAGGATGATACACAGCTTAATGTGAAAATAATAAATGCCAAGAATTTTGAGGAGATACAGATATCCTTAATGTCTGATAAGATCTGGATGGCTAGGAGGAAACTTAAGTTGAATGATAGCAAACCAAGATTATTGCTATCCGTGGAAATGGGAGGGGTGAGAGCATAACTCAGTCCTGTCAATTTTGTTCAAAATCTTGGTGTGTACTTTGACTCAAACTGAATTTTAGAAATCATATGGATTCGGAGGTTAAAAGTTGCAACTTTCATTTCTGATATCTACTGTACGTATATATGCTGTGAAACAGTTTTTTGGGAGACAATGTTTTGTGACACTATTACATTCACTTATTTTGTCTACTCAAAAATACAAAAAGCACTAAAATAATGTATCAAGATAGGTAAAACAATTATTCAGCTGACATCTACTCACTGATAGAGGCACTGTCACCGTACCCAACAAGTTTCTCATTTCATTCATTTGGATATTGGCTGCAGCATCCCGAACCAAGCGACTAAACTCCCGAATGTCTCTCATTCCCTTCAGCTGTTCCACTCCAGCCTCTTGTGGCTCATGCCTGTAAAGGTTGCTGGATTGTGGTGGACTCAAAAATAATTTTCATAACAAAGCAGTTGACCAATTACCATCAAGATATTAGAGGCTAATACTTACAAGACAGGCAACCATGCTAGCTCAAGCATTCTTAGAAGACTCATTTCAAGGTTCCCCCCCCCCAAAAAAAAAGAATAAAGAGACACATACAAAACAGTGCACAGCATAGCAAGATTCTGTCTTGTTCATAAGCCACTTAATATGCACATAACATTAGTGAAATACCCTGTACAGGTGTGCAGTATTATGAACACTGGTGATCCGTGATTAAAATACTAACAGTCCTAAAACCTTCTCAAGAGATGTGGAGACAGGAGGTAAAAAACCTATGTATTGGAAATGGAAATCTGACCATCTTTAGTTTACAAAGTAAATATCGTATTCAATAGGATTCAAGGAATGTGATATAAGAGATTAAGCATTTCACTGTGTTCTACAAAGACTAATGGAATTACCTTTTAAAACAATCGAGTATGACAAATTATAAATATTGTACAGTATAAAACACTTCTCTACCTTAAAGAGTGACTAAAATACTCTTTAATTACTATTGTATAAGCAACAGTGTAATCATGATTATCATTTTTAAGGTTCATTTTAATACAAAACATTGCAATGTACTGCAGGTTATACAAAGGAAAACATTTGTCAAGTGTCAGAAAGATTGGTTCATAAGTGCAGTTTTGCAAAGAACACAAATTCCTCACATTCATACTTTTATTTATAAATTTATAATGAGAAAGACATAAATTCATATTATAACTTATGCAACAAAAGAAAATAAGAGGAAGATCAATAGAGAGGGACTCTGGATCAGTTTAACTAACTTTTCAGATACAAGGGAGGACAAACGAGTGAAATTTCAATACTGTGCTCATATGGAGAATGTGATTTCCTGGGACACCTGTGTACAGTATCGTTAATTCTGTACACAAAAACTAGAAAATATACAGTACACAGAAATAATCATTTTGCTTAGTCATCAAGCATACTTTATTTAGGCATAAACTAATCTATATACGTACAGTAAAGGTGTCTATGTATAGATTGTAGTTACAACAGTTCCCTCTGGCTACAAACTTGCTAATGACTGACAGTCCCCAAGAGCAGCAGTATCAAGCTCTCTCCTGCCATTCTTACTCAATTTTACTATATGATTCACAAAGTCCTTATCATTTTATCTGCATTAATTTTATATACAGTAAACTCCTGCTACCTAAGATTCCTCATAACATATCACAGATGTGATCAGCAAGCTAAGTCAAGAAAAGAGGTGCCAGTTCTTACTGATGAACATACTGTACACCAGTCAAAATTCAGTGTGGATCAATAAGCTACTGAGTGCCAACTGACAAACCCAACAATAAAAAAGAATAGTGTATGCAGTTATTATTACTTTATCCCATTTCAATTCAAGAACTTCATACCAAAGCAGACAGACTAGGAGACAAGCTCACAGCCTATGCAAGCCAAGACCCCTTAAAATATTACAAAGTACTCCTTCACATATCCTTATCATACTGTAGATTCTTGGAACAATCTTCCATCCAGCATTATCAATGTTAAGGTGTTATATGAGGGTTACAGAACATGACAATAAATAATAGCTGCATTATTTAGATACAGTACCATAATTAATACAAACCCAAGCATTTTATTGCTAAGTCTTATTGATAAGTTATTGACAAACTGAATGGCTTGTGTTAATAAAAGAGTAACTTCAAAAAGCTGTATGCCCAAACCCTATGAAGTTCGATAACTATACAGAGGAGTACGTGTTTATATGCAACAGAAGCAAAATGTGATTAATACAGTACTGTAATTATGACAAAGTTCCAACTTCAAGCATGACAAGGTAAAAGGATATAGGATAAAAAGATGATTAAGAGTTAAATATGGGAGTATAAGGATGAGCAGAAAGTTGTACAGTAAATGAATATGTACAATGAAAGACAGAAGTCGTGTCGTGAAATTTGGTGAAAACATATGCAGAAGGGCTAAACTTTTGGTGCGCTCTGCCTTGTTATATTTAATCTTCGATCAAAACCACAACACGACTTTTTTCTTTGATTGCACACATACATGGAAGAGATTACATTTAGATGAACACTTTGGTCTTAGATGATACAGTATACTCTACATATCAAGTCATAAATACCAAGCTTCAGATAGTGATTTCAGCCTCTTTATTAGAAATATACTGTACTGTACAGGCAAGCAAGAGCATATTGTGCACTCACCAGACTTCCACCATAAGCTTTGCATCACGGAGTGCTGGAATTCCGCTGCAATAAGGGAACAAACACTTGCTGGTCATAAAACATAGAAGGATTTCATGAATGTATTTGCATCACTATCATCATTATTAATACAGTATGATTTTAACACAAGACTAAAACAAGACTTGTTCCCAGTGAAGAAGACAAAGAAAATAATTAAAAGTAACCAGCGAGAAAAAAATGCATACTGTAGCACAACTCTTCTTGACGTCATGCAGGTGAGCTAAATTTGAGTGTCTGTATGTACTGCTCCCGTACCAATATGTATTGTACATATATTGAGTCATATAATTATATATCGTATAATATATATATAATATATATATATATTATTTTATATATTTTAATATTATATATATATATATATATATATATATATATATATATATATATATATATATATATATATATATATATATATATATATATATATATATATATATATATATATATATATATATATATATATATATATATATATATATATATATATATATATATATATATATATATATATATATATATATATATGTACCTACTAACTCATCCAACATATATGTAATGCAATCCAACTAAAATGGCATACAGTAATCATATTTTTAGAATAAACAAACACTTAATAGAGAATAGTCAATAGTGTAGCACAAAAAGATAAACACATAGCTATTTAACAGAATGAATAATAATTATAGAACATACCTACATGAATAAAATTTCACCCAAGATGGAGGATAAACTATACTTTTACGTTTATCCTCTTCACAACCTCGAACAGAAAATACAGTGCAGCCTTAACTTGGAAAACAAACAGTAAATCAACTTAGCATGAACAGTGGCTTACGTGGAGAACTGTGACTCCCAGGATGGTGAGAGATCATTGTTCAGGACTCTGGTTTTGAAAGTCTCACTGCAGCCTGACACTCGCACGAAGCAGTATGGGTGGCTTGTTTCTGTAAAGGACCACATAAAAGCTTTAGTGCATAATTGCTTGCTAAACTCCTTATCCCCTCAACAATTCACACACACAATCACACATGTGCACAAAATTTTTCATGTACAACCCAAATTGTACATGTGCATACCCCTGTACATACAAATACATGCACAAATACCATGGACAGCTATGGGGGGGGGGATGCATTTGCCCCTCTGTTTCAGCCCTTTTACCAACAGAGTTTGGAGCTTCTATTTTTGTCTAACACCTATTTTTGTCAGATCTCCTAAAGTTAATCCTCAACATTAATCTAGGCACACTATAACCTGTAGTCATACCACTCACTAGCTGAAGAGCTCCCAACAGATGCAAACAGCTGAACACTTTATCCAACCTCCATTCACCCACCCAGACAGACAGACAAAAACATTTAGCTCCATTATACATAGATTACTGGTCACTTAACACTACCTCGCCCTCATGTGAAACTACCCCCATAATTATATCCTTACTTCACTTTAATTTATCCTCACCAATGATTGGCCTGTCACGCATGAGCATCACACCATAAAATCATGTTGGCATTCCTTTACTAGGTTGTTTCGTAGATGTTCCATCATGGCATTTCGTATAATGCTCTAGTAGTTTACACACTATGCTGATCAAGCTCACTGGCCTATCATTATTTGTGGAGTGGCACTCTCCCTGTTTGAATACAGTATAGTACTTACGTATGCTATTCTCCAGTTGCTGGGATCTTTTGCTTGTCCATGCATCTGCAGAACATGATTTTAAGGGGCTCGGCAAACTTGGGCATCCACTGGCCTGACTCATTAAGGCACAAGAACGCAGACACTACGCTGAATATCATAACTAGTTAAGTGACCCATTTGATCAATAAATATATACCCAAGACCAAACCCAGTGCCTCTAGGAATACGAGGGAATCCCTACACATGAACCATGCGGCGGTCGACAAATTTAAGAAGAAAACCCATAAATTCAAGACGTGGGTTGGGTCAAACGATGAGCAGGACAGGAGGATGTATGCAAGAGCCAGAAGCCAAGCAAAGGTAGAGTGTAGAAGGGCTGAAAAGGAGTTCCAGAGGCTGGTTGCAAGCGAGGTCAAGTCAAACCCAAAGGCGTTTTACCGCTATGCAATGTCGAAATAAAAACGCTAGTAGCAGTATCAGGCCTGAGGCTTGAAGATGGTAGTTATGCAGATTCTGACCAGGATAAAGCTGAGGCATTGAACAGCTTCTTTTCCTTGGTGTTCACAAGAGAGGATGTGATTAACCTTCCTGCGTTTGAGGACAGACGGTTCGACACAGCACTGACCCACATTGTGTTCACAGAAGAGGTTATTAGAAATAAACTGTCAAAGGTAAAGGTCCATAAGGGTCCCGGCCCTGACATGGTGCATCCCAGAGTGCTAAGAGAGTTGTGCAACGAGCTTGCCAAGCCCCTGAAGATCCTGTTTTGTAAATGCCTGGATGAACAAAATGTCCCCAGTGATTGGAAAGTGGCTTATGTGAGTCCTATCTTCAAGAAGGGCGATCATCACTCCACGAACAACAATAGATCGGTGAGCTTGACCAGCATAATATGTAGAGTACTTGAGAGTATTATCAAAGATGCCATAAGTGGAAAATCTACGAAACAACCTTGTAAAGGATTGCCAACACGGTTTTATGCCGGGGCGCTCCTGCTGTCAGGGCTGTAACGAGCAGGATGGTTGTCCGCCGCTCGTTTGCTTGTTCGCGTCCCCCACTAGGGGGGGGGGGGGTAGATGGAGGTGAGAACAACACTGCTGCCTCGTCGCACGCCAGACACTACCCAGTCAGCACCACTGCTGCACTTCCCCGTTGTTCGTTCAAATTCTGGTTGTGTTATCATCTGAGGTCTTGGACTCATGGACTGATTCCCCAGTCCTTCACTATACGACTGTCAATCTCCAGACACCTACCCCAGCTACTACCACAGCTGCCCCATCATTGCCACTTCCTCCACGCCCTGTCCACTGTCCGTGCCCTGGCGTCTCTCCTGTGTGACAAGACCATCGCCCACCAACGCCGCCGCCAAATGAGGAAGCTGCCCTGGACACCACCCCCCGAGAGCTGATCATCTCTTTACCAGAACACCTTTCACCGGGGCCTCCACCCTAGGAAATATTCCTGTACATTCTTTGATTCTCGTAATTGTTGACTCCCTTAATTGTTTGACTCCCTTAATTGTTTGGCTCCCTTAATTGTTGACTCCATTAATTGTTTGACTCCCGTAATTGTTTGATTCTCTTAATTGTTTGACTCTTTAATTGTTTGACTCCCGTAATTGTTATTTGATATTTGTGTGAGTGGTATCAGTTTTGTGTTATTTTCATAGTAAAGAGATGTCAATCTCTAAGGGGTGTTTGTTATCCCTCGGAAAACCATGGTTCCTGACTTTCCTCTTATAAGATCCTGATTAGGCTGGCAAGGGATTTCTACCCCAAGTCCCAGGCCTTTACACCTGCTTAACACAATTGCCCAAGGTATTGGATATTTGGACCCATATTCTGGAACGGGGTGGTAATATCGACAATATATCCCTAGATTTTGCCAAGGCTTTCGACAGTGTACCCCACGAAAGGCCGAAAATCAAACTGGAAGGGTAAGGAATTTGGGTAAATGTCCTAGCGTGGATAGAAGACTTTCTACATGACCGCAAGCAGTGTGTGGTGATTAATGGCATGAAATCATCATCTGTATCTGTCACAAGCGGGATACCGCAGGGCAGTGTATTGGGCCCGCTTTTGTTTGTTTGTTTCATAAATGACATGCCTGACGTTGTACACTCCTCCATACAAATGTTTGTCGATGACGCCACGATATTTCGGGAAATCAAGAAGCATGCGGACTGTGAAGAGCTGCAGAAGGATCACTGTGAGCTCCAAGAATGGTCGAAGAAATGGCTGCCGAGATTCAATGTCACAAAGTGTAAGAGGATGCACCTGGGGCGTACCAACGGTAAGGAGGCGTATCATATGTCCCAACGGGATGAAGAAACTGCACTATTTGAGACTGAATGTGAGAAGGACCTAGGTGTGTATGATGACAATGAACTGAAGTTCTCAAGCCATTCCGAGAAGAAGGTAAATCAGGCAAGTAGATTATTGGGTCTTATAAGGTCGTTCAGATATCCAGACGGTCCGTCCCTCGTAACGATCTTCACGAGGGAAGTGCTTCCCCATCTGGAGTACTGTCACAACATCTGGTCCCCGAGATATGCTTGGGACTGCACTTCGGCACCTCAACTACCCTGAGAGATTGGAGCAACTGAACTTGCCTCGCTATACTACAGACGGGCAAGGGGCGACCTAACTGAGGTGTATAAGCATCTCAAGGGGCACTACTCAATCAAGTGTCCTTACTTGGAGCTGGCGGACGCTCGTCCCACAAGGGATCACAGCTGAAGATTGAAGAAGCCGCAGGTCCAGAAAACTGTAAGGGCAAATTTTTACGGAGTGAGAATTGTGAACTCTTGGAACAATCTACCAGAAAGTATTGTGACGGGACCGAATGTGAGCTCTTTCAAGACCAGACTTAACCAACACTGGAGCAGGTTCAGGTACATTCAGGAGCCGGTGCATGCCCAGTACTTGCCAACAGTGCGTAACAGAGACGTGACCGATCGCCCAAGCGGCTAATGAGCCGCTCAATTGGTGAAGAGGATTAAAGAAAATGAAAAGTAACAGAGACGTGACCGATCGCGGATGATGATTTCGTGCCATTAATCACCACACACTGCTTGTGGTAATGCCAAAAGTCTTCTATCCACGCTAGGACATTTCCCTGAATTCCGTACCCTTCCAGTTTTATTTTCAGCCTTTCGTGAGGTACACTGTCGAAAGCCTTGGCAAAATCTAGGTATTATTGTCGATATTACTACCCCGTTCCAGAATATGGGTCCAAATATCCAATACCTTGAGCAATTGTGTTAAGCAGGAGCGTCCCTGCATAAAACCGCGTTGGCAATCATTCATTACCGTTTTCTTATCCCCAGCTGAAGGTGAAAGTGTTTGAGAATGTGTTAAGTTACTGACCTTTGGGCGTTTTGGGTCTGAGCTCCTTGGCTTCGTGGATGTTGATGTGCAGTGTCATACGTGGAGGCTGTGGGGTGGTGGGGACACTAACGTTAGTCAAGTAATAACCACAAACTGATAGTTTATTCAGAAAATTTACTCAGAAATACCACCACTAGTACAGGTTTGAGTGTAGTGTGGTGCTGACGTCAATGCAGGGTTTTTTAATGAATTTTCAGAAATGCACTTTTTTTTTTTTTACAGGGAATAGCCCACCCGGTCACAGGTCATCGGCCCACAACGGGGCCTAGGGGGCGAAAAAATAAGAGTATAAAAAGAAATTAAAAATACATGTTCTATAATCATTATATAGGCCACAGGTGGATAAATATAATTTGGTCGTACTCATTCGTCAATATTATTTATTAATAAATTAAACTCGCATCCATAGGTGAAGGATACGAGTTACGTCATTCTTTACCAAGCTTCTGTTGAGCAGCTGCCACCCTGCCTGTAATCCCTGTAAGTGTACAATACTTGATTGATCTCTCCACTTCCTAAGTGAGGCTATTGACACTCACTGGTAGTGCACCACAACACATTACAGTGTGTACATGCTCAAATTTACTATAAATTATATTGATACGTATACAGTACAAGATATGAACATGTCACATGGGGAGACTATGTGATTTGTTATTTTTTCCTAACTTCTTGGTTAACCTCACAATAATCATCATCATAATCAACCAAACTACAAAGATACTGATACATAGCTAGAGACGTAAGTATTATTCATTTACTGCAGTATTCATTCACTGTATATTAACATGTTCAGAATTCGTATAAATCGATTCGAATCTGTCACCCCTTACAGTGGCTGAATAACCTTTAATTCATGTTTTACTTAAAAAACACTATTTCATGACTTAGTGATAGAGACACACACACACACACATATATATATATATATATATATATATATATATATATATATATATATATATATATATATATATATATATATATCGCTCTTTACACTGATAAATAAAATCCAAGACAAAATAATATTTAGAGCGGCTGCAGTTTCAACGCGAATCAAACTAATACTAATAATTTAATTTTCTTGTCCGCTGCTTCTGAAAAGATACTGCAGATAAACTGCACAAAATTTTACGTTAATAGATTTGAGGCATCGACCTACACAAATACTGGAAAACAAGCTGTCATAATCCATTTGTTAGAAAAAAAAGAGTTGTTCCTATGGAAACTAGACGTTACATTCTACTATGCCACAGATAATGTAATTCACTAGTGAGAATAATTCAGTGTGTATGGTGAAAACTCTAATTCCATTTCGATTTAACGAGTGTGCGCGTCACTCACCTCCCTGGCCTGGACTTCCTCGTCGACAAGTTTCACCATGGCTTCATTTACACCAAAGATATCCCTGAGAGTCCTAAGAAGTTCCTCCCTGGTGATGCGTGTAGTGTCACTACTGTTAGCTTGTGGGTTAGCATTAACTCCTTCATCTGTTGTTGCTGAGATCTTGAAGGCCTCCGAAAGCAGAGCCTCACGTGACAGGTGCAAATGAAAAGCCGAGTAGTACACATCAGCCAGATGGTCCTCTGCCTGTTTAGGGGGAGGGATTAAAAATATAAATGGTTCCTGCAATTATCTCTCATTTTAACATGAACATTCTAAGAAAATCAGTAAACAAACGTCTGAAATGGTTCCCGGAGTCAGCTTTTACCCCAGAGGCTTGCTGTCATGACCCTATAATTACAAACTCATAATATTACGTATCTGAAGAGTTCCCTTGCAAAGATGGTGAAGAAAGCACTATATATTTCTAGTGGTTTTCATTTGAAGCAGAGACGCATATGTCCATTATCCTATAATAATAAAAAAAAAGATATGGCTTATATTGTGGGTATCAAACTACGCAATCAAATCCGGATACGAACACCATGTGACACCCCCACCCAGAACCTGTCCCTAACCAGATTGACTAACACTGCTGAGATGCCAAGTTCATAACTCCCGGGAAATCTGAAATACTGTACTCCCTTTGTCTTGAACTTCTCTCCCCGCACACCTCCACCCACACCCTAACATAAATATTATTTACACAAGTCACCTGGCATTTCCTGCACTTATAAATTCCACATATCCACAAACTCTGAGTAATTCTCCTGCCAACTCAAAAATGACTAAATATTTCTCCGATGGCAAAATGCGACATTGTGCTACGAACCTGGCATCGACTCATGAAAAATATATGCTTGCAAAAGACAAGACACATTAGTACCCTAACTGGTAACTCAAGACCAGCGCGAGACAGAACATGTGGATGGAGTTACGAAATGCATGCGTTACTTCCAGGCCTCTTTATACCACTCTTTTTTTTAGTGGGTCCTGATACCATACGGCCAGAATTTGTGAAAGCAAAACCAAGTCTCTTCCATCCAAGTCTTGAACAGAAATACTATATATATAATGTTTATATTTACATTTTGAGACGGAAGTGCGGCAGCATTACTTCCATCACAGTTCAAGGTCAGTGAGGTGGCAACTGACATAAGAGTCCTGCGGGGTGGAGGTGATATGGTGTGGTGGGACAGGTTCAGTAGCAGTGGAGGGAGGCACATAGGCATTAACAATAATACTGTAATAAAAAAAATCTAAGAATCCTGTAATGGTCTAACTCGAGCCTCTAGTGATCTAGTCGCTTGTGTAATAGGTGTAACAAACTCGAATCAAGCATAAATCACAGAGATTTCCGATAATAGTCTGTCAAAATAATGTAAAAAATTGTACTTAACGGAGTTCATACACAAGCGGCCATACTCGATGTGGTAGAAAAGCAGCTTTGCTACACTTGCACGACCCACTAAACGTTTATTATGCTAGCATGAGAAGATGACCGATAGTCTAATCATTCTAATGCAATCGCTGCCGTAGTATAAATATTAATAGTGGCTAGTTGATGAGTTTTATATGCAGCTAGTACCTTTTAGCGTAAGACTACCATGGACTAACATGTTAGAACATAATGATTTATATAACATGGGAGAATCAACAATTAAGGGTTCATAAAATACCATAAATTTTGGTACATTATTATTTTATGCACAACGGCCCCTAAATGTTTAGATTAAAATACTGTTTAAGATAGAACAGCCCCAGGAAGCAGTTTTGTTTTGTTTTGTACACCCGTTTTACATATTTCCATTTTGCTATGATTGTAATCCATCTCTGAATAGAACTTAACCTGTTATGGAGGCCAATTTGCAATTCGTCAAATTTCAGATTAATTTAAACATTTGTCAACTGAAATATTCGTCGTCAAAACGTATAGCTAAGCAACATTTGTCAGCTTAAAATAACATTCTTCTCTTATATACCACAACTTTTATAAGCGAAGAAAAGAACGTCATGACGGGAGTAAAGCTTCTCTATTCAGAGACTGGGCAAGGAAGGTTCATCATGCATGCGAGTAATTGCCAGATATTGGAGTCACATGTTTCACGCACTGTCTCACACTACCAGTCAGTCCCCCCACGTACACAGTTCTACTTTCTATATATATATATATATATATATATATATATATATATATATATATATATATATATATATATATATATATATATATATATATATATATATATAACCTACCATATCAAAATCTTTAAAACTAATATAACTTAATCGATTCAAGTTGAATCCAACACTTCGATACAGTACTATAGTCATACCCTGCAACCCAGTCCAAAAAAGCTAAGTTAAGGAACGTTGGGTCTGGTTAGTACTGGGATGGGTGACCGCCTGGCCCTAAGAACACTAGATTCTACTGACATATGAACTTTGCTGTAAACAAGAATGACGTTCGTGGCAAGTGTCATCACGAACGTTTGTAGATTCACCAAACAAACAAACGAAGACTTCCGTCAGCCACAGGGGTACCTAGTGACAGCACTAGGATCCAGCTTCCTCTATCAAGGAATAAACGATTGAAATTGAAAAAATTGAATTGACTTCCGTCCCACACAGTCCGCAGCTCCGGTTGGCCTTGAACTTGACCGTATTGTTGCCGATGCTTTTATTTGGTTCTATTATACGATTAATCTATTATTGCAGCGAGGAAAGTTCAACGCATTATATTAGAAGCATCATCCTTGTCGATACGGTAAAAAGCTGCCAATTGTATTGCATGAGAAATTTTATATATAATACTCAGTACTGTATTGTAAAGTCGTGTAGTGTTTGCTAATGGTACAACTGATAAAGTGCCAATTTGTGAAAGGTTTGAAGACTATTACTCGAAACTTAACACTATATTTAAAATTACTTCAACATTAGACATTACTTTGTTCACTAATAAGGCAAAAATATCAGGTAAATGGACTACATCAATTTCTAAGTTCAGGCAAAATGGTAGGTAATCCTCGTTTCTGACCAAACCCATTTCTAGAGTTATTCACCATACTACATATATATTTTTACTCAACACAGCTGTAAAACTAAAACACACACTGACAACTCTACTACATACACCCACGGCTTTCACAAATCACATCATGCACTCAAGCCTTGTTAACACAGGTGATGCAAGCGCTAAATTTATATTTACAACACGCTATATCTTTCCCTGCTTACAATAAACACACTCCCCCCTTAATCCCACGAATTGATGCCTTGCTTCAATAGGAGTATTATGTTGAATTTGTATTGACTAAATAGTACGATAATAACTTCACAGTTTATACCAAATCAGTAACCTACAAACCACGCTGTAATGCTTCTGAACTTCGCCTTACCAGGAATATGGTGCCAAGTAAACTAGCCCCCGCGCTGCGTGAGGCAAATCTGAAAAATCTGAATCTGGAGCTCAGCCACTAACACTGTACTTAGTTCAATGATTAATGATAGGAAAATAATTCATGACTAACACCGAATGTCGGTGTCTTCACGAATTAACCGACAGTTGTATATATTGAATCAGTCTGAGCCCTGTACTCGATTTTAACCAAACATTGTTTCCCTTGATCACACACTGGACATTTGCCAGACTAGGAATGCATATGTCGACTTCTCTGTCTACCAACAGAATTATATTAATGTTAACGTAACATAGGTATGGTGAATGTAGTGAGCATCACATAACAACAACCTTAATACTAACACATTAAGGCGAAATCCAGGTTACGTAACAATGAAACATTATTCCCTTTGGTTACTACACACGACTATCTTTGCTAACTGACTTGTTTTTTGTTCCGGGTCTTGGAGGAACTACACACCCACAATGCACTAAATGTACACCTAGAGTGACATTATTGTTTACGGTCACATCCTACAACACCTCTCCACATTTTTATTTCCCTAAAAAATTCATATGTTCAACTTTGCTGGAAAAACAAAGGAAATCTAATAAAACTAAACCTCCTTTATTTAGTAATAGAACGACTGTATATTGAGACAACGAAGAATATATATATATATATATATATATATATATATATATATATATATATATATATATATATATATATATATATATATATATATATATATATATATAGTGCCGTATTCATTACTTAAGAATACTTAAATTAAAAACATTCCTAGTTGTGCCACACACACACTTCAGGGCGAGGGCTGTCTTGCTCACCTTCAACCACAGCTGCCTACACAAGTTCACATGCTGCTCCACTCCCTGCCTCGCCTGTTTACTTATAGACGTTTTTCTATATTAAGACGGTGATGGACAGGAAAAAAACTGGTCACAAAGATGAAAATAAGAAGAAAAAAACGACAGTTGTACAGAGTGTATACATGTATGTTGTCTGTATTTAAAGATTTATAATATATTAAATTTAATGTATATTTTTTTCTGATGCCTATAGATACCGAGGATAGATGCGTAGTGATGTTAGCCACCCACAAAAGTCCTGTCGCCTCACCTTCTGAACCACGAACCCGAAACAGTAGACACATGCATTATCCTGTCTATAAATGCTTCGGATTCACGAGTCTAAATCTCTGGATTTGTGGTTCAGGAACACAGGCGACAGGACTTTTGAGGGTGACAGTCCCCTTCACTTAGGCATATACAGGGGCTTGTCAGGTTTTGTGCAGTGTGGCAGAGCTCTATTTATTTACATTCGACCAAAGAAAATTCGTAATAGTAAACATACTATGGAATCAACGTAAGGACATATTACAACAAATATCTCAATGTAAAGATTAGTGGATTGTTTATATGTTTAATAATAAATGCACTGATCAGATTTATTAGTTCATATTATTTTGCCTAATGGACGGTGGTGAAGTGGGGTGAAGAGGGTGGGAGGGGGGGAGGGGGCAGCAAGGAGGGAAGTGTAGGCAGGTGTCCCTCTACCTTCAGTAATGGTCTCCGTGAATATGAACTATTAACATTCTATTGAGGCTTAAGTTTATATCTATTATTTTCCTCGTCTGTTATATTATACAGATAACATTCATACTATGCCTGTTTAACTTTGGCCATAGTGTGAACAAGAGGAGGTTTGAAGATAATTGAAGTGATTCTTTATTCACTTGGTGCTTGTTAAAACAATCTACTGTACCATAGTAAGAGAGTAAAT